TCCATTCCATTTTAGTACTTTCTTTGCATTCTATGAATACTGACACTGATACTAAGGAGGTTTCATGAAATAGTCAGCAATGCCTCAGCTACGAAAGCAACCAAGGACAACTAGTGGTCAATAGTGTGAGCATCAATTCGCACAATGGGACTTCGAATAACGACACAGGGACATTTATATCGGTTATGTAAACCTTGGTGACACACATGAGCACAGGTAAGATGCTCACAAACAAGCTAAAGTGAGTGAGTGAGTATGGTTTTACGCCACTTTTAGCAATATTCCAGCAATATCACGGCGGGGGACACCAGAAATGGGCTTCACACATTGTACCCATGTCGGGAATCGAACCCGGGTCTTCGGCGTGACGAGCGAACGCTTTAACCACTAGGCTACCCGACCGCCCCAACAAGCATTACAATCAGGTCAAATTGTATTCCAACCAGTGAGCATCGGATCCTTGGAGCGCTAAGGCACACAACTCATGATTCCGTGTAACTGACATATCAATCTGCAAAGTGTCATATACTACTGGTACAAACATAAGTATTTAGGAGTGTTTGTCTCATCGAGATTAATGGGGTACAAGCTAACTTCCGTCGATGACCAAGTCTTATTTCCGGACACCCGTGAAGATCCGGGATAGAGAATAGGTCTTCAGCAAACCATGTTTGCCGTAAAAGTTGACTATGCTTGTCGTAAGAGACGACTAACGGGACCGGGTGGTCAGGCTTGCTGACTTTGTTGATTCATGTCATCGTATCCCAATTGCGTGGATCGATGCTCATGATATCACTCACTGGTTGTCTGGTCCATACTCGATTATTGACAGACCGCCGTCATATAGCTGGAATATTGCTGAGTGCGGCGTTAAACAAACAAACAAACAAACCAGATGGGTGTCAGTTCCATCTGGAAGATCCCAAGTATCACACTTAGAGTTGGAGACCGCCTCCGTGGTCTTGTGGTAGAGCGTCCGCCCGGAGAGCGGAAGGTCCAGGGTTCGATCCCGGGCCGCGTCATACAAAAAGACGTTAAAAGATTGTACTTGTTGTTACCCTGTCTGGCGCTCGGCATTAAGGGGCTAAAACAAGGACTGGTCGGCTCGGAGTCAGTATACTGAGTCTGAGTGGGGTATTTATGTTAAACTGCGGCATGGTATCTCAGTGAGCTAGCACTATAAATCGGCATCAGTCCGGACTAGTACAAGCAGCCACACACACATACACGTGCATGCACGTCGCTATATAAGTGCAATAATCTTGGACGCGACGTTAAACCCAATTTCACCTCACCTTAGAGTTAGATTATCGAAGCGATGACTTCGGCATGAGCAACACAAGTCCGTCTGAAGTCCACAACTGTTTATTTAGACAACGACTGAAGTGTTACAATCGCAGGCCAGGTCTAAACTCTCTCCCCAGGCCTTCTGTCTGGTCACTTATATACCCAGGGTCGTCAGCTAAAATCCTTTGTTTTATCAACTCCCTGCATCTGGTCAATGGCTTCCCAGTAATCTCCAACTCGGGTGGGGGGCACGGGTGGCCCAGTCGTCTAAGGCGACGCGATTCGCTGTGCAGAGGTGCGTCCCTTGGGCACGCCAGAAACCTATGATTGTGGGTTCGAATCCCGGTTCGCCCCGATTATGTTTCTAGGTTTGTCAGCACCATACCCGTGCTCGTGGGTTTCGCCGAAGTGGTTAACGTCTGAGACCTGCATCACTTCGGGCTTTCCTCCCACATTAAGCTGACACGCCGCGATATAACTCACACACTCACTCATATGAAATGCATAATTGCAGTCACACCTGTCGTCATATGGCGTCAGCGTGGTTTTTGGCGCTTCTTAACGTCTGCTCCCATTGGATGATCACTTATAATCACGCCACCTGACGGCAGATAAGGGGAGATAACGCTTTCCGCTTTTCCCCAGCTTTTCCCCACAGTATTCCAGTTATGTCACGGTGTGCCATCGTAATGTGCGAGGAAAGCCTGAAGTGATGCAGGTCTCCGACGTTTACCACTTTGGTGAAACCCAAGAACATGGGTATAGCGCTGACAAACCTTGAAACGTAATCGGGGCCACTGTCCTTTAACAAGAAGAGGTCTACTGAGCTCATATGTTATTAATGCACTAACCAATTGTATCATAATAACTTATCACGGTCACAAAATAAATGTATCTCTGCACATCATCCCAAGATCTTGTTGTCCCTTAAACAACCCCTCTTGATCTTTTTCACACTTTCCCACATTAAGCTGACACGCCTTGATATAACTGGAATACTGTTAAAAGCGGCGTTAAACCCAACTCACTCACTCACTCCAACTCGGGTATTTCCCGCCTTATATTGATATTAACCCCTATTCCCCGTCTCATATCGATCTTAACCCAGGGAGCCCCGGTCAGTCCCTTTTTGGAGGTGGCTCCTAATCGCCTGATAAAGTCCCTCCGACTCATGACTGCCGGTCAACTCTCATCATAACGGGTTATGTTAATGATTGTCTTGTCGTGGCGACTGTCCGCCACGCGACAACGCTGTCGGCCCATCTGTGGCTGTGACTAGGGGACAAAGGGGACTACGGTTTTCCACTGACCAGTGCATTAGCAGGGGCAGCAATTGGCTTATTTAGTGAGATGCCATCTGGCCTCTCTTTACCCTTGATACATCTCCCCGCTGTGACGTAAGGACGTTTCCATACGTCCTTATGAGTGAGTGAGTGAGTTTGGTTTTACGCCGCTTTTACCATTATCTAGCAATATCACGGCGGGGGACACCAGAAATGGGCTTCACACATTGTACCAATGTCGGGATTCGAACCCGGGTCTTCGGCGTGACGAGCGAACGCTTTAACAACTAGGCTACCCGACCGCCCCACGTCTTTATGAGGGGTCGTAATCAATTGAGCGTGACGACCCTGAGGTTGCATAAATAATAATACATGGAACTGTATGGAAATGGCTGAATCTACATCATACAGGCGTTTGATGTATAAGAATACATAGTACAATGGAATGGACATGATGTGGACCCGTATTTATGAATTATAATCTAATAACATATGTACAAAAATAATACATTCTTCCTACGACATAGTGGTACATGAAGCATTTGCAATGTGTGTGGAGTCCAATGATGTATATGCGACAGGCCATCATTGGTGTGTAGTTGTGTTTTGATAATATTGATACAATGGACATGAATTATAATCTAATAACATATGTACAAAAATAATACATTCTTCTTACGACTTAGTGGTACATGAAGCATTTGCAATGTGTGTGGAGTCCAATGATGTATATGCGACAGGCCATCATTGGTGTGTAGTTGTGTTTGCGGGATCGGCCGGCCATTTTGGAAATTAGGGGTGAAGGGGGCGGTGGGGGTCGGGATCGACACGCCCTTTTTGGTTACTTTGGTAAGGGGTCTGTAAGGGGTAGGGCGGGGGTGAGTGGGTATGGATTGCCTGGTCGGCCCATCGGCAGCTTGCAGTGGGTAACAGAACTCTGATTCTATAAAGTCATGGTTCTATAAATCTCTATAAAGTTATATTCCATGAAGCCATAAAGGATAACAATGCATTAGGGCCATGTCGCTAACTTATTAGAAAACTGTAATTATCTTGGTCATTGTTTAGAACATGTTGTCATTATTTACTCATTGAATGTGCAAGGTGGAACAATACAATCTTAATAATGGATAGGAAATGCATTTTATATAATAGTCCGGACATATGCTGACAAATTGCATTTTATATCTGAAGGGGGCACGGGTGGCCCAGTCTTCTAAGGCGCCGCGATTCGCTGTGCAGAGTTGCGTCCCTTAGGCACGCCAGAAACCTATGATTGTGGGTTCGAATCCCGGTTCGCCCCGATTATGTTTCTAGGTTTGTCAGCACCATGCCCTTGCTCGTGGGTTTCACCGAAGTGGTAAACGTCTAAGACCTGCATCACTTCGGGCTTTCCTCCCACATTAAGCTGACACGCCGTGATATGACTGGAATACTGTTAAAAGCGGCGTTAAACCAGACTCACTCACTCACTCATTATATCTGAATGTAGATATTTTAAAGTAATGGACGAGTCAAAATAAACAACTGACTATATTAAATGTGTAACACAGGGTATAGGTCCATTATAGGTCGATGATCACAGGCGCTCTTTATAGTGCTCTCAATCCACTCATTCATCCTCAAGTCACTACACCACTAAACACATCCCTTGTGTTAACTACTCTCCTACGCACATTACCTGTATCCGACGTCTTCAACAACACAAATTTTCCCTAGGTTAGCTGGCCCTATACTACCGGGACTTATAGGAGAGTGAATGATCGCTCTAAACACTCTCCAATGGGTATCGAGCACGCCTGTGGACCTGTCCGTGATCAAGAGAGTGGTAGACGGTGGAATCCATCAGCTAACCCTGCCGCAGAGTACATGACACCTGGTGTCTCTCCAGGGTCCCAGACAATGGCGTGATGGCTCTTTTGTCTGCGGTTGTCCTGTACCTGTTTCTTCACAGCTGACACCCCCCCACCCCCCACCCCTCTCTCTCTCTCTCTCTCTCCACTGAATCCTTCTCACTACAACTACTGGTGTCTCTCCAGGGTCCCAGACAATGGCGTGATGGCTCTTTTGTCTGCGGTTGTCCTGTACCTGTTTCTTCACAGCTGACACCCCCCCCCCCCCCCCCCCCCCCTCTCTCTCTCTCTCTCTCTCTCTCCACTGAATCCTTCTCACTACAACTACTGGTGTCTCTCCAGGGTCCCAGACAATGGCGTGATGGCTCTTTTGTCTGCGGTTGTCCTGTACCTGTTTCTTCACAGCTGACACCCCCCCCCCCCTCTCTCTCTCACTCTCCACTGAATCCTTCTCACTACAACTACTGGTGTCTCTCCAGGGCCCCCAGACAATGGCGTGATGGCTCTTTTGTCTGCGGTTGTCCTGTACCTGTTTCTTCACAGCTGACACCCCCCCCCCCCCCCCCCCTCTCTCTCTCTCTCTGTGAATCCTTCTCACTACAACTACTGGTGTCTCTCCAGGGCCACAGACAATGGCGTGATGGCTCGTTTGTCTGCGGTTGTCCTGTACCTGGTTCCGACAGCTGACACCTCACTTCACTCATAACCCATTTGCAAGCATAACCCTTATAGTTCATTCGTTCTTAACTCGTCACGCACTCGGATTTCATAGTAGGGTTTTTTAACTCCATACGATTCCATTTTCACTAACTAACTTTCACACTTTGCGACCTATACCATGTCACATACTACATGTATTTCAGGTATTTTCCTCATTGACATAGTTGATTTGGTCTGGTTTGATTAGGAGGGGTATAAATATAATAAACCATGCACAGTGGACCTTATTGTGCTGGAATTGTCTAATAGGTGATAGTCATCATTTACATATGTTGTATATTGGGGGTGCTCCCATATGTATATCGTGTATCGTGTCGTATGTGTGTATACTTATTTGTGCTGCTATATACACGTCTGTACCGGTGGTCAATTAATGGGAGTCTATATATATATAATCTGAAGTTTTCCTGATATGTACAACCTGGGCTATCATTATATACACGTGACTCTCTTTACTTGCGGGAAGCTGTCGCTTTTATAGTGTGTTGAATCTCTTGAAAATAAAGGACAATACTAGGGCCTACTATGTGCTCTTTTCTAGCCTGTTTAGAGATGATTTAGATCAAAATGTCTGTTGCAGAATTTTTAAGGCAGTTGTTGAACCTGTTGTCCTATATAACTGTGAGGTATTGGGAATTGATTCAGTTCTACTCATGTATATGGATACTTTTACTCCTGAAATATTCCGAAAAACATTTGCAAACGTGTTCTGGGAATTTCTCAAGAAATACACCTGGGCATGCAGGGCAGAGCTTGGTTTATCTCCCTTCTGTTTAAGGTAATTAAATCGATTATTCAATTCTACAAATATATTTTACAATATCCCTATATTGTTTTAAATCATGCTTTTAATGAATCAATAACTATGGCCAAATATAAAATTGGATGGTATTTATATAAATTCATTTGCCTCCTAGATAAGTTTGACATTAAGAAAGTGATCTAATTTCTTCCATCATTATGAAGGACCTACAATCAAAGTTTACAGACATGTTCCACTTATCGTTTCAAGGTAAACCAAAAAAATAAATTCAAGAAACTAACTTGGAACATATAGAAAATTTAAGTCAGAAGTTAAACTTGAACCCTATCTAGAACACTGGAAGATTAAAGAAAAACGTACACACTTCACCAAGCTAATGTTGAGTGATCCCAGGTGAAATATTTAACTGGGTAGAAGAACAAGGCCAATACTTATTAGACTTATTATGTATCTGTTTAAATAGTTTATAGAATATTGTCACTATTCTATATGGAACGTTTGCGAAATAAAATCTTGTATCTTATGACGACCATGCTTGATAAAATCTTGTATCTTATGGCAACCATGCTTGATAATGACTCGTTTTGGGATTCGGTTTGCGATACTGCTGTGGCTGCTTCAGGCTGTATGGTATGCCCCATCTGTCAGAATGGTCAGTCATGTGGTGATGCATATGTTAACACAGAAAGAAAATGATGCTTACCTAAAATGCACAATCAGCCTTTGAATAAAATAGGGTTTGAGTCACACAAAAACACAGTTCTGGATCAATGTCACAATTTTCTTGTTCTTGCTCTTGTTCTTGCGCTTGTTCGGGTCGTGTCACTGAGGTGGGTCCTGCCGTTGATTGAATCAGTTTCCTAGAGGGGTGTGGCGGCGGTGGGTCCAGCAGGGGGATTGAGTCAGGGTCCTGGTGGAGTCTTGTAGAGGTGGGTCCAACAGGGGAATTGAGATTGATCCGACTGCATTAACGGGGATTGGAACGCTTGCACATGGAGGTGACGACAACGTTGATATGAATTGGAGGCAACCGCAATGGTAGAAAGTCACAAGTGATGATTGACGACGTCTTGATGTCACCCAAATGTAGATAAATAACGCTTGCGTTGTGGACCCCAGAAGAAGGCATAAAGTTCAGCACTAACCATGATTTGATCTTGAAAGCTTGAGCTTGAGGTACCAGGGAGTACTCGGATTCTCTCACCAGTATCACACTTAGAATTGGTTGATCTAAGCGATGACTTCGGCATGAACAACACAAGTCCGTCTTAGGATCCACAACTGTTTATTAAGCTAACAGCAGCTCTCTTGGCCATTCGGACATTATTGTGTACCATACGGGAGTTGAAGAATACGGACCGCAGCCAAGCCTTTTATTCTCTAGCCTTCCTGGTACCCAAGAAGAACACTACAGTCAGGCCATGATCATAGATCTAAAAATTATCAACAAATGAATATCTGATGCTCAGGCAATGGTTGTCATTACGTGTTCATGGTACTTCCGTTCAGGATATTCATCGCACCCTGGCTGTTCACTCAGTTAAAGCACCAATCATCAGTTTTGATCACATCCATCTTGGTTCGCAACAACACGATCTTCCTGATCAAACTATTGTCTCATCTCGGTTTCTTGGTTTCCCCAGCCAAATTTGAGATCAACCCAGTACAGGATGTCAGACATCATTTATATCGGCGCCAGATACCTTCACAGAGGACTGATCGTTATTTCGAGGTGCTGCGGATCTCATCAAAGTGGCAGATCAGCCCAACCACTCTTTTTGATGATGGATGTCGTTACTCGGGATTCTGACGTCCCTACAAGACTTCACCTTGGTCCCATCCAGGCTTGGATGAATTCAGTACGGTCGTGAACGTTGGGCATCCTAGTGCCTTTCCCTCCAACGTTACTGGATCGTCTCACTTGGTGGACATGCCGGGAGAACGTCATGGTTGGCATTCCACTTGTATTTCCAGCACCCAAACACCACCTGTTCACAAATACTTCCAGCTCGGGTTTAGGTGTTCTAATGGTGCAACCGTCTGTGGCAACCTTCACCTCTACTGTCTCCAGATACGAGCGATCTTATCTTCTAAGCATTCAGTGCATGGAAGAACCACTTATCCCTATCCACGATCCTTGTGCCCGAAACAACACCACAGTGATGGCTTACATGACATGGACGAATACAGTCGACTGGAGCGGCACTACACGTTTGTGTGCCTTGCAGAATATAAACCTGCCACATACTGGGGAGGCTCAACAACTTGGCGTACAGATAATATCGCAGGGAGGATGGTGGCGAAAGAGTGGTCTCTGACCGTCTCTCCATCCAGGGGTAATTCAATGGCGTGGGCCACACCTCGGCTAGACTTGTACGCCACACACCTCAAGCTCCTAGTGTATGTCAGCAAGGTGCCGGATCCTCAAGCTCTACCATGACATGTTGTCCATTGATTGAATGGGGTTCTTCACATACTCCCTTCCCTGGGCTCTCGCAGACACAGTACTTCGGAAGATTGAGAAAATGGTCTGCACTATCATTCTCATAGCACCGCTATGGATAGCCGGCCAATTATATCAGACTGTTTCCGTTACTCATTGACGAACCCCCTCAGCATACCTGAATGCCGAGATCTCCTCCCTCATGTACGGCAGTCTACACGCCCTTCACCTTCACCTAGTCATCATCTAGAAGATGCTTCTGCTTCAGCGGAGGTTGCTCGTTCATGGAGACCATCCTCGCCCGTCATCTACGGCAACAGGTGGAACAAGTTCTGCCAATGGTACAGAGGACGAGAAGTAGATGGGGGACCTGCAACTGTACTCATGATTTTGGATTTTTTTCTTCACATTCGCCTGGATGCTAAGTTCCACCACGACACCATTGAAGGATACTGTTCTGCTCCAACATCGGTTCTCGAGCACGGCGGACTATCTACCTGAGATCATCCAGTCCGTAACAGGCATATACGATCTCTCCTGCTGGATGACTTTAAAACCCGTACACATTTCCCAAGTGGAACCTCTCGGCTGGACATAGACAATACGTGATTCCTGTACTTGGCAAAGGTTTAGCAGTGCCAGATCGGCATATCTGCCCTTTTCAGGATTTCCGTTTCTACTTAGAAGTGACAGAGCCACAGCGGAAATCCAATAAACGTCACTTCATTTGATATAAAACAGCTTCTGATAAAAAAATTATCAAAGCGACAATCGCAGGAAGGCGAAACACTACAATCTCTGATAGTTACCGAGACGTACGTACTGAAGATGTTAATAGTGTGATGACAGTCAAAATATAGGACATCAGGTCACTGAGGTAGTGTTCTTTAAATTATTAACAATGACATCAATTGTTTGATATTTCTTTGTGGGCTTCAATTTCTTGGTTTAACACTGTTAGCAGAAGACACAGTTATTATACTATTGCTGTATTGACAGGATGACAGACAAAATGAAGTAAACTATAATCACAGCTATCCAGTGTGTCAGGTCAGCATTCCTTGATATGAAGAGGTCAAACACACTTTGATGACTTGCTAGAGTTGCCACCATTACTGGTGCAAATCCAAACTGTGTTCTTGTATTGATATTGGAAGGTTACACGAGATGTTGTACTAAAGCCTTGTTACCACCCCGACAGGCAACATGAAGTAAACTATCACCATTGTTATTCACCAGTGTCAGGTCAGCTTGCTCTGATACCAGGATGTCAAACGCACTTTGATGTCCACGAAAAGCTGCCACCATTACTGGTGTAAATCCATTCTTTCCCCTAGTATTGATATCTGAAGGTGACACAAGATGTTGTACTATAGCCTTGTTACCACCCCAACAGGCAACATAAAGTAAACTATCACCACCGTTATCCACTAGTGTCAGGTCAGCTTGCTTTGACACTAGGAGGTCAAACACACTTTGATGTCCACGAATAGCTGCCATCATTACTGGTGTAAATCCAATCCGTCACCTAGTATTGATATTAGAAGATGATGACACAAGATGTTGTACTATAGCCTTGTTACCACCCTGGCAGGCAACATGAAGTAAACTATTACCATAGTTATCCACCAGTGTCAGGTCAGCTTGCTTTGACACTAGGAGGTCAAACACACTTTGATGTCCACGAAAAGCTGCCATCATTACTGATGTATATCCATTCTGTCCCCTGGTATTGATGTTAGAAGATGACACAAGATGTTGTACTATAGCCTTGTTACCACCCCAACAGGCAACATGAAGTAAACTATCACCATCGTTATTCACCAGTGTCAGGTCAGCTTGCTTTGACACTAGGAGGTCAAACACACTTTGATGTCCACGAAAAGCTGCCATCATTACTGATGTATATCCATTCTGTCCCCTGGTATTGATGTTAGAAGATGACACAAGATGTTGTACTATAGCCTTGTTACCACACCGAGAGGCAACATGAAGTAAACTATCACCATCGTTATTCACCAGTGTCAGGTCAGCTTGCTTTGACACTAGGAGGTCAAACACACTTTGATGTCCACGAAAAGCTGCCATCATTACTGGTGTATATCCATTCCGTCCCCTAGTATTGATATTTGAAGGCGACACAAGATGTTGTACTATAGCCTTGTTACCACCCCGAGAGGCAACATGAAGTAAACTATCACCATCGTTATTCACCAGTGTCAGGTCAGCTTGCTTTGACACTAGGAGGTCAAACACACTTCGATGTCCACGAAAAGCTGCCACCATTACTGGTGTATAATCATTCCGGCCCCTAGTATTGATATTTGAAGGTGACACAAGATGTTGTACTATAGCCTTGTTACCACCCCAACAGGCAACGTAAAGTAAACTATCACCATGGTTGTTCAGCAGTGTCAGGTCAGCTTGCTCTGATACCAGCACGTCAAACGCACTTTGATGTCCAAAAACAGCTGCAACCATTACTGGTGTATATCCATTCCGTCCCCTAGTATTGATGTTAGAAGATGACACAAGATGTTGTACTATAGCTTTGTTACCACCACAACAGGCAACATGAAGTAAACTATCACCATCGTTATTCACCAGTGTCAGGTCAGCTTGCTTTGACACTAGGAGGTCAAACACTCTTTCATGTCCTTTACCAGCTGCCACGATTACTGGTGTATATCCATTCCGTCCCCTAGTATTGATATTTGAAGGTGACACAAGATGTTGTACTATAGCCTTGTTACCACCCCGACAGGCAACATGAAGTAAACTATCACCATCGTTATCCACCAGTGTCAGGTCAGCTTGCTTTGACACTAGGAGGTCAAACACACTTTGATGTCCTTTACCAGCTGCCACCATTACTGGTGTATATCCATTCCGTCCCCTAGTATTGATATTTGAAGGTGACACAAGATGTTGTACTATAGCCTTGTTACCACCCCGACAGGCAACATGAAGTAAACTATCACTATCGTTATCCACTAGTGTCAGGTCAGCTTGCTTTGACACTAGGAGGTCAAACACACTTTCATGTCCTTTACCAGCTGCCACCATTACTGGTGTATATCCATTCTTTCCCCTAGTATTGATATTTGAAGGTGACACAAGATGTTGTACTATAGCCTTGTTACCACCCCGAGAGGCAACATGAAGTAAACTATCACCATCGTTATTCACCAGTGTCAGGTCAGCTTGCTTTGACACTAGGAGGTCAAACACACTTTGATGTCCACGAAAAGCTGCAATTATTACTGTTGTACATGCATTCCGTCCCCTAGTATTGATATTTGAAGGTGACACAAGATGTTGTACTATAGCCTTGTTCCCACCCCAACAGGCAACATGAAGTAAACTATCACCATCGTTATTCACCAGTGTCAGGTCAGCTTGCTTTGACACTAGGAGGTCAAACACACTTTGATGTCCACGAAAAGCTGCCATCATTACTGATGTATATCCATTCTGTCCCCTGGTATTGATGTTAGAAGATGACACAAGATGTTGTACTATAGCCTTGTTACCACCCCAACAGGCAACATGAAGTAAACTATCACCATCGTTATTCACCAGTGTCAGGTCAGCTTGCTTTGACACTAGGAGGTCAAACACACTTTGATGTCCACGAAAAGCTGCCATCATTACTGTTGTATATGCATTCCGTCCCCTAGTATTGATATTTGAAGGCGACACAAGATGTTGTACTATAGCCTTGTTACCACCCCAACAGGCAACATGAAGTAAACTATCACCATCGTTATTCACCAGTGTCAGGTCAGCTTGCTTTGACACTAGGAGGTCAAACACACTTTCATGTCCTTTACCAGCTGCCACCATTACTGGTGTATATCCATTCCGGCCCCTAGTATTGATATTTGAAGGTGACACAAGATGTTGTACTATAGCCTTGTTACCACCCTTACAGGCAAAATGAAGTAAACTATCACCATTGTTATCCAACAGTGTCAGGTCAGCTTGCTCTGATACTAGGAGGTCAAACACACTTTGATGTCCCCAAAAAGCTGCCATCATTACTGGTGTAACTCCATTTAATCGCCTAGTATTGATATCAGAAGATGACACAAGATGTTGTACTATAGCCTCGTTACCACCCTGACAGGCAAAATGAAGTAAACTATCCCCGTCGTTATCCACTAGTGTCAAGTCAGCTTGTTTTGACACTAGGAGGTCAAACACACTTTGATGTCCCCAAAAAGCTGCCACCATTACTGGTGTATATCCATTCTGTCCCCTGGTATTAATGTTAGAAGATGACACAAGATGTTGTACTATAGCCTTGTTACCACCCTGACAGGCAACATGAAGTAAACTATCACCATCGTTATTCACCAGTGTCAGGTCAGCTTGCTTTGACACTAGGAGGTCAAACACACTTTGATGTCCACGAAAAGCTGCCATCATTACTGGTGTATATGCATTCCGTCCCCTAGTATTGATATTTGAAGGCGACACAAGATGTTGTACTATAGCCTTGTTACCACCACAACAGGCAACATGAAGTAAACTTTCACCATCGTTATTCACCAGTGTCAGGTCAGCTTGCTTTGACACTAGGAGGTCAAACACACTTTGATGTCCACGAAAAGCTGCCATCATTACTGGTGTATATCCATTCTGTCCCCTGGTATTAATGTTAGAAGATGACACAAGATGTTGTACTATAGCCTTGTTACCACCCAAACAGGCAACATGAAGTAAACTATCACCAGCGCTATCCACTAGTGTCAGGTCAGCTTGCTTTGACACTAGGAGGTCAAACACACTTTGATGTCCGCCAAAAGCTGCCATCATTACTGGTGTATATCCATTCTGTCCCCTGGTATTAATGTTAGAAGATGACACAAGATGTTGTACTATAGCCTTGTTACCACCCTGACAGGCAACATGAAGTAAACTATCACCATCGTTATTCACCAGTGTCAGGTCAGCTTGCTTTGACACTAGGAGGTCAAACACACTTTGATGTCCACGAAAAGCTGCCATCATTACTGGTGTATATGCATTCCGTCCCCTAGTATTGATATTTGAAGGCGACACAAGATGTTGTACTATAGCCTTGTTACCACCACAACAGGCAACATGAAGTAAACTTTCACCATCGTTATTCACCAGTGTCAGGTCAGCTTGCTTTGACACTAGGAGGTCAAACACACTTTCATGTCCTTTACCAGCTGCCACCATTACTGGTGTATATCCATTCTTTCCCCTAGTATTGATATTTGAAGGTGACACAAGATGTTGTACTATAGCCTTGTTACCACCCCGAGAGGCAACATGAAGTAAACTATCACCATCGTTATTCACCAGTGTCAGGTCAGCTTGCTTTGACACTAGGAGGTCAAACACACTTTGATGTCCACGAAAAGCTGCAATTATTACTGTTGTACATGCATTCCGTCCCCTAGTATTGATATTTGAAGGTGACACAAGATGTTGTACTATAGCCTTGTTCCCACCCCAACAGGCAACATGAAGTAAACTATCACCATCGTTATTCACCAGTGTCAGGTCAGCTTGCTTTGACACTAGGAGGTCAAACACACTTTGATGTCCACGAAAAGCTGCCATCATTACTGATGTATATCCATTCTGTCCCCTGGTATTGATGTTAGAAGATGACACAAGATGTTGTACTATAGCCTTGTTACCACCCCAACAGGCAACATGAAGTAAACTATCACCATCGTTATTCACCAGTGTCAGGTCAGCTTGCTTTGACACTAGGAGGTCAAACACACTTTGATGTCCACGAAAAGCTGCCATCATTACTGTTGTATATGCATTCCGTCCCCTAGTATTGATATTTGAAGGCGACACAAGATGTTGTACTATAGCCTTGTTACCACCCCAACAGGCAACATGAAGTAAACTATCACCATCGTTATTCACCAGTGTCAGGTCAGCTTGCTTTGACACTAGGAGGTCAAACACACTTTCATGTCCTTTACCAGCTGCCACCATTACTGGTGTATATCCATTCCGGCCCCTAGTATTGATATTTGAAGGTGACACAAGATGTTGTACTATAGCCTTGTTACCACCCTTACAGGCAAAATGAAGTAAACTATCACCATTGTTATCCAACAGTGTCAGGTCAGCTTGCTCTGATACTAGGAGGTCAAACACACTTTGATGTCCCCAAAAAGCTGCCATCATTACTGGTGTAACTCCATTTAATCGCCTAGTATTGATATCAGAAGATGACACAAGATGTTGTACTATAGCCTCGTTACCACCCTGACAGGCAAAATGAAGTAAACTATCCCCGTCGTTATCCACTAGTGTCAAGTCAGCTTGTTTTGACACTAGGAGGTCAAACACACTTTGATGTCCCCAAAAAGCTGCCACCATTACTGGTGTATATCCATTCTGTCCCCTGGTATTAATGTTAGAAGATGACACAAGATGTTGTACTATAGCCTTGTTACCACCCTGACAGGCAACATGAAGTAAACTATCACCATCGTTATTCACCAGTGTCAGGTCAGCTTGCTTTGACACTAGGAGGTCAAACACACTTTGATGTCCACGAAAAGCTGCCATCATTACTGGTGTATATGCATTCCGTCCCCTAGTATTGATATTTGAAGGCGACACAAGATGTTGTACTATAGCCTTGTTACCACCACAACAGGCAACATGAAGTAAACTTTCACCATCGTTATTCACCAGTGTCAGGTCAGCTTGCTTTGACACTAGGAGGTCAAACACACTTTGATGTCCACGAAAAGCTGCCATCATTACTGGTGTATATCCATTCTGTCCCCTGGTATTAATGTTAGAAGATGACACAAGATGTTGTACTATAGCCTTGTTACCACCCAAACAGGCAACATGAAGTAAACTATCACCAGCGCTATCCACTAGTGTCAGGTCAGCTTGCTTTGACACTAGGAGGTCAAACACACTTTGATGTCCGCCAAAAGCTGCCATCATTACTGGTGTATATCCATTCTGTCCCCTGGTATTAATGTTAGAAGATGACACAAGATGTTGTACTATAGCCTTGTTACCACCCTGACAGGCAACATGAAGTAAACTATCACCATCGTTATTCACCAGTGTCAGGTCAGCTTGCTTTGACACTAGGAGGTCAAACACACTTTGATGTCCACGAAAAGCTGCCATCATTACTGGTGTATATGCATTCCGTCCCCTAGTATTGATATTTGAAGGCGACACAAGATGTTGTACTATAGCCTTGTTACCACCACAACAGGCAACATGAAGTAAACTTTCACCATCGTTATTCACCAGTGTCAGGTCAGCTTGCTTTGACACTAGGAGGTCAAACACACTTTGATGTCCACGAAAAGCTGCCATCATTACTGGTGTATATGCATTCCGTCCCCTAGTATTGATATTTGAAGGCGACACAAGATGTTGTACTATAGCCTTGTTACCACCCCAACAGGCAACGTAAAGTAAACTATCACCATCGTTATTCACCAGTGTCAGGTCAGCTTGCTTTGACACTAGGAGGTCAAACACATTTTGATGTCCTTTATCAGCTGCCACCATTACTGGTGTATATCCATCCCGTCCCCTAGTATTGATATTTGAAGGTGACACAAGATGTTGTACTATAGCCTTGTTACCACCCTGACAGGCAACATGAAGTAAACTATCACCATGGTTGTTCAGCAGTGTCAGGTCAGCTTGCTCTAATACCAGCACGTCAAACGCACTTTGATGTCCAAAAACAGCTGCAACCATTACTGGTGTATATCCATTCCGTCCCCTGGTATTGATGTTAGAAGATGACACAAGATGTTGTACTATAGCTTTGTTACCACCCTGACAGGCAACATGAAGTAAACTATCACCATCGTTATTTACCAGTGTCAGGTCAGCTTGCTTTGACACTAGGAGGTCAAACAAATTTTGATGTCCTTTACCAGCTGCCACCATTACTGGTGTATCTGCATTCCGTCCCCTAGTATTGATATTTGAAGGTGACACAAGATGTTGTACAATAGCCTTGTTACCACCCCGACAGGCAACATGAAGTAAACTTTCACCATGGTTGTTCAGCAGTGTCAGGTCAGCTTGCTCTGATACCAGCACGTCAAACACACTTTGATGTCCAAAAACAGCTGCAACCATTACTGGTGTATATCCATTCCGTCCCCTGGTATTGATGTTAGAAGATGACACAAGATGTTGTACTATAGCTTTGTTACCACCCCGACAGGCAACATGAAGTAAACTATTCCCATAGTTATTCACCAGTGTCAGGTCAGCTTGCTTTGACACTAAGAGGTCAAACACACTTTGATGTCCCCAAAAAGCTGCCAACATTACTGGTGTACATCCATCTAATCCCCTAGTATTGATATCAGAAGATGACACAAGATGTTGTACTATAGCCTCGTTACCACCATGACAGGCAAAATGAAGTAAACTTTCACCACCGTCATCCACCAGTGTCAGGTCAGCTTGCTCTGATACTAGGAGGTCAAACACACTTTGATGTCCCCCAAAAGCTGCCATCATTACTGGTGTATATCCACTCAGTCCCCTGGTATTGATATTTGAAGGTGACACAAGATGTTGTACTATAGCCTTGTTACCACCCTGACAGGCAAAATGAAGTAAACTCTCACCACCGTCATCCACCAGTGTCAGGTCAGCTTGCTCTGATACTAGGAGGTCAAACACACTTTGATGTCCCCCAAAAGCTGCCATCATTACTGGTGTATATCCATTCCGTCCCCTGGTATTGATGTTAGAAGATGACACAAGATGTTGTACTATAGCTTTGTTACCACCCCGACAGGCAACATGAAGTAAACTATTCCCATAGTTATTCACCAGTGTCAGGTCAGCTTGCTTTGACACTAAGAGGTCAAACACACTTTGATGTCCCCAAAAAGCTGCCAACATTACTGGTGTACATCCATCTAATCCCCTAGTATTGATATCAGAAGATGACACAAGATGTTGTACTATAGCCTCGTTACCACCATGACAGGCAAAATGAAGTAAACTTTCACCACCGTCATCCACCAGTGTCAGGTCAGCTTGCTCTGATACTAGGAGGTCAAACACACTTTGATGTCCCCCAAAAGCTGCCATCATTACTGGTGTATATCCACTCAGTCCCCTGGTATTGATATTTGAAGGTGACACAAGATGTTGTACTATAGCCTTGTTACCACCCTGACAGGCAAAATGAAGTAAACTCTCACCACCGTCATCCACCAGTGTCAGGTCAGCTTGCTCTGATACTAGGAGGTCAAACACACTTTGATGTCCCCCAAAAGCTGCCATCATTACTGGTGTATATCCACTCAGTCCCCTGGTATTGATATTTGAAGGTGACACAAGATGTTGTACTATAGCCTCGTTACCACCCTTACAGGCAAAATGAAGTAAACTATCACCATCGTTATCCACCAGTGTCAGGTCAGCTTGCTCTGATACTAGGAGGTCAAACACACTTTGATGTCCCCAAAAAGCTGCCATCATTACTGGTGTAGATCCATTCTTGCCCCTCGTGTTGATGTTTGAAGGTGACACAAGATGTTTTACTATAGCCTTGTTACCACCCTGACAGGCAAGATCCATTATGTCATTTCCATTCTTGTCTTTGGTATTTTTGTTAGATATTGATTGCAACAGCTGATAACACTCATAAGATCCTGTAAGTGCTGCAACCATGAGTGGAGTCATCCCCGTATCATTAGTAGAGTTCAGTAAAACTTTCTTCACTTCATCCTTAAAGTATTCACTGTTGTGCTCTTTCAGTACCTTTAGTGTTTTCTTGTGTCCTTTAGTGCATGCTATGTGAATGATATTTCTCTTTTCTGCATCAATGGTAAATACATCAGCACCATTTTCTATAAGATAAACAAGTGTTTCAGAACTCCCATGTTCAGCAGCCTGCAACATCCACAAGTTCATGGTTAAATCAATGTTTGGATTGTTACTCCTGGGGAAAAGCCACTTCAATACAGTCAGATTGTTGATGACCACACAACCTTCCATGGCTTCACTGATCTCTGTTTGAGTGAATTCTCCTCCAGTTTCATGTTCTATTTCTAGGACAAACTTTGCACTGTGTCCAAGAACAGCCCAATACAAAAAGCAATTCCCCTTATCTCTCTTGTGAAACCAACATTCATCCATGGATCCATCATGTAGTTTTTCAAGCAATTGAAGAGCTACCTTTTCTTGTCGGAGAATGGGATGTGTCACTGATTTTGAAAACTGCCCATTCTTTACTGATTCTGCAAGTCGTGTAGTTAGGATATCATAATATACTTCGGAGAGGTAGATCAGGTGGAGATGATCATCGATTTTGCTTTCTTCCACTGGTTGTGGTTGCACTCGCTCATATATGAAGTTGTCACTGCAGTGAGTCAGCACAAATGTTGGACTGATCTCAAACAACGAACAAGCACAAGCGTCATAGATCGAAGAGTGAGCAAATCCAACAGCATCGCCACGTGTAAGGAATGTTCCTCTCAGACACTTTGCTGCTTCATACATTCCTTGACGTGATGCTGATGGCAGCAAATCCAAAACAGTACTGACCATGTGGTCCAGTTTCTTGTCTTTGCCGTTTGCTTCCAACTTAGCCAAATCTAACTTATCATCACACAGTAGCATTAGGACCAATACGGCTGATCGATCAGTTTTCGATCTCAGTAAGTTTTTGAGCTCTAGCCTTAGATATAACAATGGTTCCTTGAAAAACTTATTTTTATTTTTGAAAATAGATGAAAAATCAAAACTGAGTTTACATGTGAGGGGAAATCCAAATATACTTGAATCTATGTGCCACAGTTCGAAGTCAGGTATATCTTCACAGTCTTCATCGGAATATTCTCTATGTATGTCCCTGTGGTGCTCAAATATAGCCTTCTTCTCTGCTTGAGTATATCTGTGTTTCTCTTGAGTTGTCAAATCCACCAGTGTTGGTCCCTTGAACAGGGAGAATCCTTCATACTGCAGCTGAGCCACTCCATCATGGAAGTTGTATGTCTTGGTTGTGAAGACAACACGAATCTTCTTTGTTGACTCTTGTCCTTTTTTAACTTGCTGTTTTCTTGGTGCGCCTTGCTTCTCAGCTCTCCTTTTGCAGTGTTTTAAGTGTCGAGCAAGCTTATTGAGAAATATTTTCAGCTGTGAAACATCTGTGGATAACCCAACAGTACCAAACATATCGTCTATGATCAGAAATACTCTAGGTGATGAACTCAAGAAGCTGTCCAAGTCAAACCGTTCAATTATGTCCACAAATGCAAGTTTGTAACCCATTTTTCTATACTGTGAACCCAGCATGAGAGCTGCTGTTGTTTTGCCTTCTCCTGAAGCACCACAGATTGTGACATGGCCAAAATCCTTCAGTTTTTGTTCTACAATCCTGAAGCTCTCGGTTGCAACAAAGATTTCTTCGGCATCATCTATTTGAAGGTCCAGGGTGGCTACAAATTAAAGCAGTCATAATTTTATTATATATTTATGAAATGATGTTAACAATGATAATGCTCTGTGCCTGAATTTGACATAGGCCCCACTCTCTGGTCCCTATTTCCTGTGTTTTCTCTGAAGTTTCAACACATAGGAAGCTGAACTTTGGCATGTATAATTTTTTTATTTGAAGTTTACACGATATACGGCTTTTCAATTGGACGAGACAATTTAACGCTCATATGTTTTTTCACGAGACCGTGTTCTTGAAATGACGTAAACACTGACGGACTACTTCCCCATTTCTGGGGAAACCCCTGGGAATTCCCCAGCACGAATACGAACGGAAGCGTTCTCTATGAACATTTAGAGCCTTTAATTTTGAACTCAGCGTTTTAGTTTACATTGAGAAACGTCAGAGAGTTTAACTGCACGATCGTTCACAAATATCCTCGCAAGCTCCGACGGTCATAAAGTTTGGCCCTCACTCTATGAAGGTTCATTCTCCAATGGCGACATCATATTTTCAACTTTATTGTCAGTTCTCAGTATATATTATGTTTATGCAGAAAATAGTTTGATATCGATACTGAGAGAAACTTTTGTACATATGCATGACCAGGGATTTGTGATTTCTTTACACCCGTCCAGATATTGACATGGTTTTTGTTACCTACCATCACCAACTGTCCCTGCAGGAGTCGGTCCCGTATATATGTTCTGCGTCTTGACGAGAGTGATGGCTTTAGGGACATCGTCTATCAACAATATTAAATGAGACAAAGATATTCAACTGATCTGTATTTAAGAAATTATCTAAAATAAATAACATGGCAATATCCTGTGTAGCTCACCTTCTCACTTTTCTTTAAAGCTAACACTGCTTCTAATTTTATAGCCTCAACAAACTCTTCCACTTTAAATGACATCTTGACTTCTGAGTAGGCCTTTCCTTATTTATTGAGATGAACATGAACATTCCAAAGAATGATTTTAATTAAAACAAGTTTACCAAAAACTGTAAATTCCCAAACTTTAACAATGTCTTTAAAAAATACCTCGTGTTGAATTTCATGTTTTGCATTGTATCGCTACTTCACTACCCCAATGGGGATTCCTTGATAGAATTGGCCCTCGGCACCATGTTGTTGTAAGAGGGGAAATAATGGATTGGAACTGATAGAGTACCCGGGTGTGGATCATTGCTCATAACATAAATCACTGATTTGTCTGGGATCCATACTCGATTATTTACAGTCCGCCGTCATATCTGGAATATTGCGTTAAACAACAAACAAACAAAACAAACCTTTTGCAACGTAACTGTTGTGATATGTGCAATATCGCAACGAAGTGTATTAGGACAGCCCTGACAATTTCACTATCATACCATTTTGAATTAGGTCCTGTTGATATAGGGTTTGGGACTAATATACCAATCATAATATCAATTAGTATAGGCTTCAGCTTGTTGTAGAACGATTGTCGAAGCATATAGTGGCAATTTGTATGTATCTAAGGACATGCACCTACTTCAAAGACACATCAGTAATAGTTGTTACAGATACAAAGAAGTCGTGATTTTAAACTCCTATCAAAGACAAGAATGGCTGTTTATATCCTGAGTATGTATCTTACTCCAAAAGAGTACGTAAAATTCAGATTTGACTATGGAATGTTTTTGGACCATTGAGGTATGAATCGAAAAACTGATGTGCAAACTGTTTGAATCCGTGTAGTGATTCACACAAGGAAGAGAATTTACAGATGTCAACTTCTTTATTATGAGGAACACAACGTTCCGGAGTATATGCTTACTCCTTCATCAGATATACTCCGAAACATTGTGTTCCTCATAATAAAGAAGTTGACATCCAGAATAAATTCTCTTCCTTAATACCCCTTGTTCCTTGGCAACAATAAATGTTTCAGGAAGTCATTGATGAGAAAACATATTAGTAGTTTGTTTTCATAATATGATTGTTTTCTACTTTTATATTGCATAAATATTTAAACTGAAATGTGACATATTCTCATTCCTGATTCTGACAATTTGTTTTACCTTTTGGGTTACCCACGTACACTTTATGACAGTAGAGGTACTTACATCAATAGATAGGTAAGCCACACAGTTACTTTATATCAATAGGTAGGTAAGCCACGCAGTTACTTTACATCAATAGGTAGGTAAGCCACACAGTTACTTTACATCAATAGGTAGGTAAGCCACTCAGTTACTTTACATCAATAGGTAGGTAAGCCACACAGTTACTTTACATCAATAAGTAGGTAAGCCACGCAGTTACTTTACATCAATAGGTAGGTAAGCCACACAGTTACTTTACATCAAAAGGTAGATAAGCCACACAGTTACTTTACATCAATAGGTAGGTAAGCCACGCAGTTACTTTACATCAATAGATAGGTAAGCCACGCAGTTACTTTACATCAATAGGTAGGTAAGCCACACAGTTACTTTACATCAATAGGTAGGTAAGCCACGCAGTTACTTTACATCAATAGGTAGGTAAGCCACACAGTTACTTTACATCAATAAGTAGGTAAGCCACGCAGTTACTTTACATCAATAGGTAGGTAAGCCACACAGTTACTTTACATCAATAGGTAGGTAAGCAACACAGTTACTTTACATCAATGGTTAGGTAATCAACACAGTTACTTTGCGTTATTTACAGTATTGACTTTAATTGCTAGAAGTAGAATGGAAATTACCGGAAACCTCAGCCAATCATGTGTCTCCGTTTGTTGGAACCTCTTATAGTTATTGCACCTAACATAATTTGATATGTTGTCTTTTTAACGGACAATACATCAATTATAAACTTTACATATGAGGTCAATACCTGTTTTTATGTATCCGGAAAAAAGCAATATCGATCTCAGATTTCGTCCTCAGTCAATATTGCTTTTTTCAGGTCCATTAGAACAAGTGTCGTCCATGATATTGGCGTCCGTGTTGGATTTAAGAATAGACGTATTTAGTCTCTTGTAACAAATAAATACAAATACGAACACGAAGAATGATTACTAACAGTGGCTAGTTAGGTTAGGTTATATTTTGCTTCAGAATTCAGTTATGAATGGAATGGAGCCAGGTATCTCTGCCTTGGAAGCGATGACCCTATATGGGATATGCTTTATCGTTGGATTCAGGTGTTTGGGTCATGTCATGTTTTAAAATTAGTTCTGGATTGAATTAGGCCATGAAATGTTAACATACCTGAGTTGGCCCTAACCGGAATACCTTCTGAAACGATGAGCTCTGCAAGGTCATCCTCCACCGGCGCCAATGACACACTTGTTAGTTCACTTGAACTGGCCATCTCAGTTTTAGTTCTTTACCTAACTATGTCGTGCAGCGATGTCACTTTCAGGTCCATCTAAACAAATAAGCAACTTTCGATATAACATATAAATGCAACTTTAGAAAGTGTCAGTGAAAACACTTGGGATGATTTCGTCTGCTTTGGACCTATCTAGATCTGTTCAGAGGCTGATTTCTGGTCCAAAGTCTGCGATGAATGCCAGCAACAAATTCCAAATTGGAATTAAGAAGTTCCTAATTCAAGTTGTTATAGTTTTAATTTATTTTATGTCTTTGTAGTGGTGTCTTTATTTCACTGATAATAGGACCAATCAAAGTCAAAGGCTTTGATACCCCTGAATTCAAGAAACTATGAACTTTACAAATCCCAAATTTCAACAAAAAAACATTACTTCTATTATATCATAGCCATAAATCCGGTATTTTTGGCTCTCACCACACTATAAATCTTCAGTTTTCCAACAGAAGTCCACTTCACTGTTAACTATCCGTAATAAGTTATGCAAGTAATAGTATCTTGTTATGCAGGCCCCTTGCGCATGCGCAAGGCAGGAAAACCTCACTTCTTTCCTGTGTGTGCTAGTTTCAATATCTATTTTTTCAGAGTTGTCATAGCATATTATTTTTTTGTATCGAACGTTAATGTATTCTGGTAAGAACCAGATAGTTATTATCCTCTGATACAGCTGAGGAGTATTTTTATTTTAGATTACTTTTTATCACGTAGTTGCTAGGTGGTAACATGTTGTGGGTCAAGATGATGTCAGTTCGAAGAAGTGTAGGAGGAGGCACTGACTATGCTCGAAACTGTCAGGGTGGAACAACCCAAGACCTACCCGAGACGGGCGCCATCAAGAAGGTGCAGATATCGTCCCTGTTGATCATGAGGCCGCTAAACGGGAAGCAAGTATCTTGAAGCAGAGAGACACCATCGGCCACTCCTTGCTTCCGGGGATGTTGTCCCCTTCTACGTCGGCCACTCCTTGGTTCCGGGGGTGTTGTTCCCTTCTACGTCGGCCACTCCTTGCTTCCGGGGATGTTGTCCCCTTCTACGTGGGCCACTCCTTGGTTCCGGGGGTGTTGTTCCCTTCTACGTCGGCCGCTCCTTGGTTCCGGGGGTGTTGTTCCCTTCTACGTCGGCCGCTCCTTGACTCCGGGGATGTTGTGCCCTTCTACGTCGGCCGCTCCTTGGTTCCGGGGGTGTTGTCCCCTTCTACGTCGGCCACTCCTTGGTTCCGGGGGTGTTGTCCCCTTCTACGTCGGCCACTCCTTGGTTCCGGGGGTGCTGTTCCCTTCTACGTCGGCCACTCCTTGGCTCCGGGGATGTTGTGCCCTTCTACGTCGGCCGCTCCCTGGTTCCGGGGATGTTGTTCCCTTTTACGTCGGCCACTCCTTGCTTCCGGGGATGTTGTCCCCTTCTACGTCGGCCACTCCTTGGTTCCGGGGGTGTTGTTCCCTTCTACGTCGGCCACTCCTTGCTTCCGGGGATGTTGTCCCCTTCTACGTCGGCCACTCCTTGGTTCCGGGGGTGTTGTTCCCTTCTACGTCGGCCGCTCCTTGGTTCCGGGGGTGTTGTTCCCTTCTACGTCGGCCGCTCCTTGACTCCGGGGATGTTGTGCCCTTCTACGTCGGCCGCTCCTTGGTTCCGGGGGTGTTGTCCCCTTCTACGTCGGCCACTCCTTGGTTCCGGGGGTGTTGTCCCCTTCTACGTCGGCCACTCCTTGGTTCCGGGGGTGCTGTTCCCTTCTACGTCGGCCACTCCTTGGCTCCGGGGATGTTGTGCCCTTCTACGTCGGCCGCTCCCTGGTTCCGGGGATGTTGTTCCCTTTTACGTCGGCCACTCCTTGGTTCCGGGGATGTTGTTCCCTTCTACGTCGGCCGCTCCTTGACTCCGGGGATGTTGTGCCCTTCTACGTCGGCCGCTCCTTGGTTCCGGGGATGTTGTCCCCTTCTACGTCGGCCACTCCTTGGTTCCGGGGGTGTTGTCCCCTTCTACGTCGGCCACTCCTTGGTTCCGGGGATGTTGTGCCCTTCTACGTCGGCCGCTCCTTGGTTCCGAGGGTGTTGTTCCCTTCTACGTCAGCCAATCTTTGGTTCTGGGGATGTTGTTCCCTTCTACCTCGGCCACTCCTTGGTTCCGGGGATGTTGTTCCCTTCTACGTCGGCCGCTCCTTGGTTCCGGGGATGTTGTCCCCTTCTACGTCGGCCACTCCTTGGTTCCGGGGGTGTTGTTCCCTTCTACGTCGGCCGCTCCTTGGTTCCGGGGGTGTTGTTCCCTTCTACGTCGGCCGCTCCTTGACTCCGGGGATGTTGTGCCCTTCTACGTCGGCCGCTCCTTGGTTCCGGGGGTGTTGTCCCCTTCTACGTCGGCCACTCCTTGGTTCCGGGGGTGTTGTCCCCTTCTACGTCGGCCACTCCTTGGTTCCGGGGGTGCTGTTCCCTTCTACGTCGGCCACTCCTTGGCTCCGGGGATGTTGTGCCCTTCTACGTCGGCCGCTCCCTGGTTCCGGGGATGTTGTTCCCTTTTACGTCGGCCACTCCTTGGTTCCGGGGATGTTGTTCCCTTCTACGTCGGCCGCTCCTTGACTCCGGGGATGTTGTGCCCTTCTACGTCGGCCGCTCCTTGGTTCCGGGGGTGTTGTCCCCTTCTACGTCGGCCACTCCTTGGTTCCGGGGGTGTTGTCCCCTTCTACGTCGGCCACTCCTTGGTTCCGGGGATGTTGTGCCCTTCTACGTCGGCCGCTCCTTGGTTCCGAGGGTGTTGTTCCCTTCTACGTCAGCCAATCTTTGGTTCTGGGGATGTTGTTCCCTTCTACCTCGGCCACTCCTTGGTTCCGGGGATGTTGTTCCCTTCTACGTCGGCCGCTCCTTGGTTCCGGGGATGTTGTCCCCTTCTACGTCGGCCACTCCTTGGTTCCGGGGGTGTTGTTCCCTTCTACGTCGGCCGCTCCTTGGTTCCGGGGGTGTTGTTCCCTTCTACGTCGGCCGCTCCTTGACTCCGGGGATGTTGTGCCCTTCTACGTCGGCCGCTCCTTGGTTCCGGGGGTGTTGTCCCCTTCTACGTCGGCCACTCCTTGGTTCCGGGGGTGTTGTCCCCTTCTACGTCGGCCACTCCTTGGTTCCGGGGGTGCTGTTCCCTTCTACGTCGGCCACTCCTTGGCTCCGGGGATGTTGTGCAATTCTACGTCGGCCGCTCCCTGGTTCCGGGGATGTTGTTCCCTTTTACGTCGGCCACTCCTTGGTTCCGGGGATGTTGTTCCCTTCTACGTCGGCCGCTCCTTGACTCCGGGGATGTTGTGCCCTTCTACGTCGGCCGCTCCTTGGTTCCGGGGGTGTTGTCCCCTTCTACGTCGGCCACTCCTTGGTTCCGGGGGTGTTGTCCCCTTCTACGTCGGCCACTCCTTGGTTCCGGGGATGTTGTGCCCTTCTACGTCGGCCGCTCCTTGGTTCCGAGGGTGTTCTTCCCTTCTACGTCAGCCAATCTTTGGTTCTGGGGATGTTGTTCCCTTCTACCTCGGCCACTCCTTGGTTCCGGGGATGTTGTTCCCTTCTACGTCGGCCGCTCCTTGGTTCCGGGGATGTTGTCCCCTTCTACGTCGGCCACTCCTTGGTTCCGAGGGTGTTGTTCCCTTCTACCTCGGCCACTCCTTGGTTCCGGGGATGTTGTCCCCTTCTACCTCGGCCACTCCTTGGTTCCGGGGATGTTGTGCCCTTCTACGTCGACCGCTCCTTGGTTCCGGGGGTGTTGTTCCCTTCTACGTCGGCCGCTCCTTGGTTCCGGGGGTGTTGTCCCCTTCTACGTCGGCCACTCCTTGGTTCCGGGGGTGTTGTCCCCTTCTACGTCGGCCACTCCTTGGTTCCGGGGATGTTGTTCCCTTCTACGTCGGCCGCTCCTTGGTTCTGGGGATGTTGTTCCCTTCAACGTCGGCCACTCCTTGGATCCGGGGATGTTGTCCCCTTCTACCTCAGCCACTCCTTGGTTCCGGGGGTGTTGATCCCTTCTACGTCGGCCACTCCTTGGTTCCGGGGGTGTTGTTCCCTTCTTCGTCGGCCACTCCTTGGTTCCGGGGGTGTTGTTCCCTTCTTTGTCGGCCACTCCTTGGTTCCGGGGATGTTGTTCCCTTCTACGTCGGCCTCTCCTTGGTTCCGGGGGCGTTGTTCCCTTCCACGTCGGCAACTCCTTGGTTCCGGGGATGTTGTTCCCTTCTTCGTCGGCCACTCCTAGGTTCCGGGGGTGTTGTTCCCTTCTTCGTCGGCCACTCCTTGGTTCCGAGGGTGTTGTTCCCTTCTACGTCAGCCAATCTTTGGTTCTGGGGATGTTGTTCCCTTCAACGTCGGCCACTCCTTGGATCCGGGGGTGTTGTCCCCTTCTACGTCGGCCACTCCTTGGTTCCGGGGATGTTGTTCCCTTCTTTGTCGGCCACTCCTTGGTTCCGGGGGTGTTGTCCCCTTCTACGTCGGCCACTCCTTGGTTCCGGGGATGTTGTTCCCCTCTACGTCGGACGCTCCTTGGATCCGGGGATGTTGTCCCCTTCTACCTCAGCCGCTTCTTGGTTCCGGAGGTGTAGTTCCCTTCTTCGTCGGCCACTCCTTGGTTCCGGGGATGTTGTTCCCTTCTACGTCGGCCACTCCTTGGTTCCGGGGATGTTGTCCCCTTCTACGTCGGCCACTCCTTGGATCCGGGGATGTTGTCCCCTTCTACGTCGGCCACTCCTTGGATCCGGGATGTTGTCTCCTTCTACCTCAGCCGCTACTTGGTTCCGGGGGTGTTGTTCCCTTCTACGTCTGCCACTCCTTGGTTCCGGGGATGTTGTTCCCTTCTACGTCGGCCACTCCTTGGATCCGGGGATGTTGTTCCCTTCTACCTCAGCCGCTCCTTGGTTCCGGGGGTGTTGTTCCCTTCTTCGTCGGCCACTCCTTGGTTCCGGGGGTGTTGTTCCCTTCTTCGTCGGCCACTCCTTGGTCCCGGGGGTGTTGTCCCCTTCTACCTTAGCCGCTCCTTGGTACCGGGGGTGTTGTCCCCTTCTACGTCGGCCACTCCTTGGTTCCGGGGATGTTGTTCTCTTCTACGTCGGCCACTCCTTGGTTCCGGGGGTGTTGTTCCCTTCTTCGTCGGCAACTCCTTGGTTCCGGGGGTGTTGTTCCCTTCTTCGTCGGCCACTCCTTGGATCCGGGGATGTTGTCCCCTTCTACCTCAGCCTCTCCTTGGTTCCGGGGGTGTTGTCCCCTTCTACCTCAGCCGCTCCTTGGTTCGGGGGTGTTGTCCCCTTCTACGTCGGCCACTCCTTGGTTCCGGGGATGTTGTTCCCTACTACGTCGGCCACTCCTTGGTTCCGGGGATGTTGTCCCCTTCTACCTCAGCCGCTTCTTGGTTCCGGAGGTGTTGTCCCCTTCTACGTTGGCCACTCCTTGGTTCCGGGGATGTTGTCCCCTTCTACGTCGGCCACTCCTTGGATCCGGGGATGTTGTCCCCTTCTACGTCGGCCACTCCTTGGATCCGGGATGTTGTCTCCTTCTACCTCAGCCGCTACTTGGTTCCGGGGGTGTTGTTCCCTTCTACGTCTGCCACTCCTTGGTTCCGGGGATGTTGTTCCCTTCTACGTCGGCCACTCCTTGGATCCGGGGATGTTGTTCCCTTCTACCTCAGCCGCTCCTTGGTTCCGGGGGTGTTGTTCCCTTCTTCGTCGGCCACTCCTTGGTTCCGGGGGTGTTGTTCCCTTCTTCGTCGGCCACTCCTTGGTTCCGGGGGTGTTGTCCCCTTCTACCTTAGCCGCTCCTTGGTACCGGGGGTGTTGTCCCCTTCTACGTCGGCCACTCCTTGGTTCCGGGGATGTTGTTCTCTTCTACGTCGGCCACTCCTTGGTTCCGGGGGTGTTGTTCCCTTCTTCGTCGGCCACTCCTTGGTTCCGGGGGTGTTGTTCCCTTCTTCGTCGGCCACTCCTTGGATCCGGGGATGTTGTCCCCTTCTACCTCAGCCTCTCCTTGGTTCCGGGGGTGTTGTCCCCTTCTACCTCAGCCGCTCCTTGGTTCGGGGGTGTTGTCCCCTTCTACGTCGGCCACTCCTTGGTTCCGGGGATGTTGTTCCCTTCTACGTCGGCCACTCCTTGGTTCCGGGGATGTTGTCCCCTTCTACCTCAGCCGCTTCTTGGTTCCGGAGGTGTTGTCCCCTTCTACGTCGGCCACTACTTGGTTCCGGGGATGTTGTACCCTTCTACGTCGGCCACTCCTTGGATCCGGGGATGTTGTCCCCTTCTACGTCGGCCACTCCTTGGATCCGGGGATGTTGTTCCCTTCTACCTCAGCCGCTCCTTGGTTCCGGGGGTGTTGTTCCCTTCTTCGTCGGCCACTCCTTGGTTCCGGGGGTGTTGTTCCCTTCTACGTCGGCCACTCCTTGGTTCCGGGGATGTTGTCCCCTTCTACCTCAGCCGCTTCTTGGTTCCGGGGGTGTTGTTCCCTTCTACGTCGGCCACTCCTTGGTTCCGGGAATGTTGTTCCCTTCTACGTTGGCCACTCCTTGGATCCGGGGATGTTGTTCCCTTCTACCTCAGCCGCTCCTTGGTTACGAGGGTGTTGTTCCCTTCTTCGTCGGCCACTCCTTGGTTCCGAGGGTGTTGTTCCCTTCTACGTCGGCCACTCCTTGGTTCCGGGGATGTTGTTCCCTTCTTCGTCGGCCGCTCCTTGGTTCCGAGGGTGTTGTTCCCTTCTACGTCGGCCACTCCTTGGATCCGGGGATGTTGTTCCCTTCTACGTCGGCCACTCCTTGGTTCCGGGGGTGTTGTTCCCTTCTACATCGGATCTACATCAGATTTGTTATATCTCCATTTATTGGAGAATGATAGTTTCTTGAATTACACACAATAGGTCCTTAGACGTGTTTCAATTGCATGTCTTTACTATTCACAACACATTTCTAGATGATGTGTTGAAGAGTGAGTGAGTGAGTATGGTTTTACGCCGCTTTTAGCAATATTCCAGCAATATCACGGCGGGGGACACCAGAAATGGGCTTCACACATTGTACCCATGTCGGGAATCGAACCCGGGTCTTCGGCGTGACGAGCGAACGCTTTAACCACCAGGCTACCCGACCGCCCCTGATGTGTTGAAGAGTCTGTCAGCACTAGTGATCCCAGCTTTCAAAATACATATAACCTTTAAGCGTCAGTGAGCATCACTCTCAGATTGACGAACAAATACCATCAATGATAATGGATGCTCTTACCCCTGAAATAATGTTTGACGTCATGCGAAATTATTTTTGAGTCCCATAACCTAATATTAATACTACGTTCCATTCCATGAACGTCTGGATTCAATCAGCGTTAGCAAACTCTTCCTTCCTCACAACTCAATAACTGTATTAGTTGCACCACAAGTAGAAAGAACATTGATATTACGTTAGATTTGAAGGCACAAGAAGACCAATCAGATCGTTTCATCTAGGAAAAACTATTTACAGATCAATGATAGTAGATTGTTGTTAGCGGTAGCGAGAACTAAGATCTGATTTTAATTAGATTGTTCCATTTCCAAAAGGGAAAAGAATCAAGGATTTAATCTCACAGGTCGAGCATCATTTAGGTACAGTCAGCTTTTCGTATTTTATTCTAGAACTTTGTAGAATTTCATAAGAAGTTAGTATACAAATTTATGTCAGTAAAAAATTCCGAATTTGAAGAAAATATTTGCCATGTCATGTCATCATTGTAATAATTAATGTTATAGATTTGCATGGGTGACGTTTCACTGATAACAGGACTACTAAACAGAGAAAGGCTTTACTTTTTGCTTTGAATGAAATATTAACATATCCATGAATTAAAGAAAATATGGACTTCAAACTAAAAGTTTTATTCAGATAAGAAAAAGAACATAATACAATATCTAAAGTGATACTTAGATATGCAACCTCATATTTCAAAATAATAACGTACTGAGATCGTGGATACTCACTGTGCCTGTGCTGAAATCTGCGTCCTGCGCTGGTTCGTGGGAACCGCAATGTGACCAAGGAATTTACAGTGTGTCGATCTTCAGTCAAAGGCAGGAGCCTCATCATTTTCCTGTTGGGCGGGATCAGAGGATGACATCACCAATGCAACTGTTACTGGATGGTGGAAGAACACTATAATATACATTTATCGTCAAGCTTGGGGCATCAGTATTCAGCAGCGTCGCCACCTCATATCCGGGTCTTATCTGGAAGAGCGCTAACACATTTAAGACCTTCCTGTTGCAGGATACCCTGCCATGTCGAGGTTGAAAATGGTTTGACTTTGTAGTTTCTATTTGTGTTCTGTTTTTGTAAGAATTAGTAGGAGGAAGTTTGGTAGTGGACTCTGGGTAGCTTTTCAGAATGCGTTTTTCTAACATATACCACTAATTATAACAGGGGTGGTCGGGTAGCCTAGTGGTTAAAGCGTTCGCTCGTCACGCCGAAGACCCGGGTTCGATTCCCGACATGGGTACATACTTACTCACTCACTCACTAATTATAACAGGATATTGGAAATGAAAATAGACTGCCATGTTGTCTGACTGTTGAGAGGATGTGTTTAACAATCGTCGGATGTGACCATGTAGACAGGATTTCATTTGTGTTGGTGATTTTTACAATTGCCTGATGACCATGCTGAGTATAAGTGCTTGGGGATACCAAAGATAACCGCTTATTGTTAGAGGGAATTGGAGTGAATACTTGTGGACCATTTAGATAGGATGTCTTCAAGATTTTAAATCCTTTCTATGTGGGAAGTCACTCAACCAGTACATGCATGCTATGTCAAAGACGACCAGACTTGACAAGAATGTGTATCTGTGACACGTTCCAGCTGGTGACATTTAGTGAACTTCACAAGTGACCGTGAATTTTAATATTCATAGCATTATAGTTTGTCAAATTGTGAATAAAACTGTAAAAAAACCATTATGTATATATTCAATGTGAGGAAAAGTCGATGTGAGGGAATGTATTCTGAAGAATGTATTCTGAAGAATGTATTATGAAGAATGTATTATGAAAAATGTATTATGAAGAATGTATTATGAAGAATGTATTATGAAAAATGTATTATGAAGAATTTATTATGAAGAATGTATTATGAAAAATGTATTATGAAGAATGTATTATGAAGAATGTGTAATGAAGAATGTATTATGATTTCACGTCAACATGGTGGTAAAATCTTTAACAAAACGTTCATGCATTAGTCATATTTGTTATCACTGAATGTGGTGATGAACATATGGATAATTTCATATTCAGTTTTCTGATTACTTTGGGATGAGAGTTGCTTGCTAACTGCACAAATAACAACATAATTAGATTTGAATATGTTCCTGTAAATTCAGCTTTTATTAATTGTGTATCACTTTATAAGAGTTGCTTGTAAACTGTACAAATAACAATATTAATAAACCGAATACCTTGTTACTGTAAATTCAGTCTTTATTCATTCAGTCACACTTGGTGATGTGAGGTGGTTGAAAAGTGCACAGATAACAACTAACGTTAGATATTTTATCAATCAGTTACACAACAGTGCTTTTTACAACTGGTGACACACCAAAATGGTATTTTGCATCAGTGAGTGGGTGACTATGGTTTTACGACGCTTTTAGCAATATTCCAATGGCATGGCGGGTGAACCAGAAACGGGCTTCACACATTGTGTCCATGTGTAGAATCTAACCCGGATCTTCAGCGTGACGAGCGAACGCTTTAACCACTAGGCTACCCCAACGCCCCTATTTTGCATCAATGAACTGCTACAGGAACATCGTCAAGGGATAAGAAGAGAAGTGGCGGAAACTCACATGTTAGATAACAGTTACATGTGATCAAACAGGTTCATGTCTATGAGAGAAGTTGGAGATGAGGTGAAAATGAGGTTTGATGTCGCGTCGCGCGCGCGCGTGTTTGTGTGTGTGTGTGTGTGTTTGTGTGTGTGTGTGTGTGTGTGTGTGTGTGTGTGTGTGTGTGTGTGTGTGTGTGTGTGTGTGTGTGTGTGTGTGTGTGTGTGTGTGTGTGTGTGTGTGTGTGTGTGTGTGTGTGTGTGTGTGTGTGTGTGTGTGTGCGTGTGTGTGTTTGTGCTTGTACTAGTCCGGACTGATGTCGATGTATAGTGCCAGTCCACTGAGATACCATGCTGCAGTTCAACATGAATACCCCACTCAGACACAGCACACTGACTCCGAGCCGACCAGTCCTTGTTTTAGCCCCTTAATGCTGAGCGCCAGACAGGGTAACAACAAGTACCATCTTTTAACGTCTTTTGGTATGACGTGGCCGCGGACATGCTACCACTACACCACAGTAATTTGTATATGTGTATCTACTATCTAAAACAATACATGGTTAATATATAAAAAAAATATATATATATATAATTAAATTCACTGAGTGGAAGTGGCATGGAATTAGCTGTATGCTGGGCCGTTTTGCTGTTTTGAACTGTAATTTTGGCAGACAAACAAACTGATAGTTTATTTAAGTTTAATATTAGGTACAGCTATAATATATGTAAACATACAAGCATGGGTTGCTAAAGCCCTATTGTAACCCGGATCTTCACATATTCATACATATCCTGAAACAGCCTCTTGTTTTTCTTGTAACTTTTTACAGGGAAGAAGATGTTGTTTCAATATCTGTATGAATATGTTGATTCTTGTCCACGTAAGTATGTTACAAAAAAAAAGCCAGCTGCAAGCGCTGTTGAAGAAGTGTTAGTGCCTTGTATATATTTGTAAGCACTCTGTATACTGAATGTGTAATCTGTTTTTCAACAGAAATATATAGAATTAAAAGTGTGAATAGATTTCACTTCCGTTTCACCTCAATCCTTTAATCACAAAAAAATATTCTGCTAACTTTATATTTGGTCAGGGAGAAGGTCCGGACGTGTGTTTGTGAACGCACCTACAATGTCAAGGTCACAGGATGACGTCACACACATTTCTAAATCCAGCCAAGCGCGGAATATCATTGTTTTATTCGTCCAACAAGGGTACATTTCCGCGATCTGTTCAGGAAGGAGATGTGGGTCATCAAAACAAATAGTCCCCAGTGAGACTGGGTAACCTGCAAATGTACAGCTGTCACTCATGATTTAGACAGATGTGTGTGACGTCACAGACACTCAGGTCAAGGAAGCACGTGTTTTACATATCCTGGTTCAATGTGGTCTTGTTTGAATAGTCGAAAATATAGCATTCAATTCACAACATTTGTCCCACTTGACGTTGAGTCCGGAGAGAAGGTTTCCGTGAAACACATCTGTGGCTTTATCTTAAAGAACATTGCAGGTTATGTTTACTTGACCTGGTATGTTTGTCGGAAGCTGAGAAGTTCAGCAAATTGTCAATTCTCGGAACACCCGGTGTCATCATTGTAACTTACAGTGAACATATGTACCATTACTGCTACAATATGGAGAACACCTGGTGCCATCATTGTAACTTTACAGTGAACATGTGTACCATAGCTGTTACAATACGCAGAACACCTGGTGCCATCATTGTAACTTACAGTGAACATGTGTACCATTACTGTTACAATACGCAGAACGCCTGGTGTCACCATTGTAACTTACAGTGAACATGTGTATCATTACTGTTACAATACGCAGAACGCCTGGTGTCACCATTGTAACTTACAGTGAACATGTGTACCATAACTGTTACAATACGCAGAACGCCTGGTGTCACCATTGTAACTTACAGTGAACATATGTACCATTACTGTTACAATACGCAGAACGCCTGGTGTCACCATTGTAACTTACAGTGAACATGTGTACCATTACTGTTTCAATTTGAAGAGTATCTGGTGTCATCATTGTAACTTTTCACTAAACATATGTACAAATACTGTTACAATATGAAGAGTATCTGGTGTCATCATTGTAACTTTTTAGTGAACATATGTACCATTACTGTTACAATACGCAGAACACCTGGTGCCATCATTGTAACTTACAGTGAACATGTGTACCATTACTGTTACAATACGCAGAACGCCTGGTGTCACCATTGTAACTTACAGTGAACATATGTATCATTGCTGTTACAATACGTAGAACACCTGGTGCCATCATTGTAACTTACAGTGAACATGTGTACCATTACTGTTACAATACGCAGAACACCTGGTGCCATCATTGTAACTTACAGTGAACATGTGTACCATAACTGTTACAATACGCAGAACGCCTGGTGTCACCATTGTAACTTACAGTGAACATGTGTACCATTACTGTTACAATACGCAGAACGCCTGGTGTCACCATTGTAACTTACAGTGAACATATGTATCATTGCTGTTACAATACGCAGAACACCTGGTGCCATCATTGTAACTTACAGTGAACATATTTACCATTACTGTTTCAATTTGAAGAGTATCTGGTGTCATCATTGTAACTTTTCACTAAACATATGTACCATTACTGTTACAATACGCAGAACACCTGGTGTCATCATTGAAACTAACAGTGAACATGTGTACAAATACTGTTACAATATGAAGAGTATCTGGTGTCATCATTGTAACTTTTTAGTGAACACATGTACTATTACTGCTACAATATGGAGAACACCCGGTGTCATCATTGTAACTTACAGTGAACATATGTACCATTACTGTTACAATTTGAAAAGCATCTGGTGTCATCATTGTAACTTTACAGTGAACATATGTACCATTACTGTTACAATACGCAGAACACCTGGTGTCATCATTGTAGCTTACAATGAACATATGTACCATTACTGTTACAATTTGAAAAGCATCTGGTGTCATCATTGTAACTTTACAGTGAACATATGTTCCATTACTGCTACAATACGCAGAACACCTGGTGGCATCATTGTAACTTACAGTGAACATATGTACCATTAATATTACAATATGAAGAGTATCTGGTGTCATCATTGTAACTTTAGAGAGAAAACATGTATCATTTATGTTACAGTACGCAGAACACCTGGTGTCATCATTTAAACTTCCAATGAACATATGTATCATTACTGCTACAATACGCAGAGCACCTGGTGTCATCATTGTAACTTCACAGTGAACATATGTATCATTACTGCTACAATACGCAGAACACCTGGTGTCATCATTGTAACTTTTCAGTGAACATATGTACCATAACTGTTACAATATGAAGAGTATCTGTTGTCATCATTGTAACTTTTTAGTGAACACATGTATCATTTATGTTACAATACGCAGAACACCTGTTGTCATCATTGTAACTTTTTAGTGAACATATGTACCATTACTGCTACAATATGCAGAAAATCTGGTGTCATCATTGTAACTTCACAGTGGACATATGTATCATTACTGTTACAATATGCAGAACACCTGGTGGCATCAATTTAACTTACAGTGAACATATGTACCTTCACTGCCACATTACGGTGAAGAGCTAGTACCCTCGCTGTTACTTTACAATGAACACATGTACCTTCTCGGCCACTTTACGGTGAAGAGCTAGTACCATTGCTGTTACTTTACAAAGAATACATGTACCATACCTACTTTACATTGAACACCTGGTGCTCTCGCTGCTACTTTACATTGAACGCCTGTTGCTCTCGCTGCTACTTTACATTGAACACCTGGTTCAAGTATTGTTACGTTACAGTTTAAACCACATCTTCCGCGGCAAGAGAGTTAACTGACTTTAAAAGTACAGTATCCACCTTTGCCGAACAAGGCTGGAATTCCTGGGCTCGATCGTAGCGCCACCTGTGGCTATTACGAGATATGTCCCTTCCATGCCTCTCCTATGGACCAATCAGATTCCACCTCTCGTATCACTTGCATTTCTTCAAACAAAATGGCGGCGATAATCGATAATCAAGATCTGTATTGTGATAAAACGAGTCTTACATCACGAAGTGCATCAAATCACGTGAGCACCTTGATTAAAAACAAGAAAAGATTTAGATAATATCTGTTGACAATGAGTTGGTAGTGCACATGCTTTGCAAATCTTTCAATCGACCGAAATCTGCATGGCAGTTTACGAACAGGATTGCGATTTCGTTGCTCGATTTTGATTGGACTATGCATAGACTCGTTAGTCCAGCCAAAATCTAACTCCATAATACCAGCCTAGTTCGGCAAGGGTGGGAATTGGACTTTTATAGTCAGTTAACTCTCTTGCCTCGGGAAGATGTTAAAACCATTATCGTCACTGTAGCTTAACAGTGATTTGGGTGAAATGGTGTTTAGCGTCGCGTCCAAGATTATTGCACTTATATAGCGACGTGCATGCACGTGTGTGTGTTTGTGTGGCTACTTGTACTAGTCCGGACTGATGCCGATTTAAAGTGCTAGCTCACTGAGATACCATGCCGCAGTTTAACATGAATACCCCACTCAGACACAGTATACTGACTCCGACCAGTCCTTGTTTTAGCCCCTTAATGCCGAGCGCCAGACAGGGTAACAACAAGTACCATCTTTTAACGTCTTTTGGTATGACGCGGCCGGGGATCGAACCCCGGACCTTCCGCTATCCGGGCGGACGCTCTACCACTAGACCACGGAGGCTTCACAGTGAACATATGCACCACTACTGTACTGTACAATGAAGGTCTGGAGTCTTTTCCCTCAATTGAAGTTTAACACTCAGTCAGTAATACAACTGTTATTTAACAATGATTGGCTAGGTGTTGAAAATGAATTCATTTCCTGTGAGATGCGAATAGGACTGTAACAGGGCGAAAATCATCATATTTTTCTTCAAGTTTTATCAAAATCAAATATATTCTTCTACTTTAAGTTTCACATTCCCAAGCCAGTAAACGCTACATAGTTTACAGGTCGCCTATCATAATACGTAACGCTTGGAGATGCAAGCTGTCGAAACCAGTCAAACGAGCTGGCAGATGCTAATCAGCTAGCGCTATAGAAATTCTAGTCCCGGCTGACCAGATTCAGACACAGCTGACCAGCCAATGAACAATTAACTAAGTAAGTCACCACATCAAAACTTGCATAATTTGACCACCATGTGGGAAACCATTGTTATCAATCCCAAACTGGACAGATGGGTAGTGACATGCTTTCAAACGTGGACTGGAGGTCTCGGGTATAAATGCAGGGGTATCTTGGCGTAGAGTCATTCCTGCATTTCGCCTGAAAACCTCTCTGTCTGTTTTTGAAGGTAAGTTACTTTTACTTATTACTTTGCCATTTTTGTTAAACGTGCTGTAAATAATTCTAACCTTGTTACTCTGCTGGTACAATGAACTTATGTTACAGTTAATCAAAAAGTATTGTTCAAAATCTACGATTTGGCTGCTATATGTTAATTTCATACAGTTCATCTAGAAATCAAATACTATACTGAATAATAGAGAATAATAGAGCATCCCGGATAAAATACGAGCGTTAGTATTCTAGGCGTTTAAATATCAATCTAACATATTACGCCATTTTAGTTATGGAAGTCGTGGATGCTTATTAAACAATATGTTCAACGTATATAACGTTTCTGTATCAAGTGACTTTGTGGTCAACATGTTCTATTATCTGCATTTATATTTCTGGTCATGTTATTCGTCTCACTGTTTGTATTTTCACGGGAAACATTTCTTGTTTCAATATAATGAGTAGCATAGCATCGGCAGCTAAATGTATGTATTTAAAGATAACCAGTCTGTGACCGTATATGTCTAGAACACAATACACGAAAAGTAACACAGTTTGCGTAGCTAAATACGCACAGATTCGGCAATGTCTTTTAACTATTTACCACATAAGTGCATCCGCACTATCGTGAAGCGCCGGTTGATTTTGTGTTTCATATCGTAGAATAGTCTATAAAGATACAGGCAATTCAGTGGCAGTCTAGTAGATAAGAGTTACAATACAATATCCAGCATTTCTTATATAAATTGTTTCTCGTGTTATAAGTTATTTACTTATAATTGGTAAACGTCAGAAGTTTCTGATTAGTGCTAAAGGTGTTAAAGTGTTTAATCATCATTATCTTGAAGTAAGGTCGGCAGTTACCTCGTTAGAGTTAAGGCTACGGTTCAACGCACGCTTGGCCGCCAGCCATTGTTCACGTGGTGCACGTACCGTGACGCCCGGCTTAAGCCCCAGGTATCTGTGCGGCAGTTAACCTGGTTACAACTATATAATCTTTGTTATATTTCCAACAAGGCACCAGAAAATAGTTTACTATACTTTAAATGATGTAACTCATTATCATTCTTAATTATTGATTTCAATATCTTAATGCTGTACTATTTAATTGCTTATTATGTTGTCTAAACTACGAAGTATAATACTGAGATGTTTTGAATGTATGTTGTTGCATTGTGATGTCACATATAATAAAAGATTCCTGCATTTCGCCTGAAAACCTCTCTGTCTGTTTTTGAAGGCGTGGAGATCCCGGAGTTAATTCCCCGTAACAATTCTAGGTATAAACGGTCCCCTTAAAAGGACGGTTTCAGGACTACCCCTCAAGCATCAGATAATGTTCATTCGTGTTAATCAAGTCTTTGAAAGGCATTTGGAAGTGATACACATAAGGAAGAAAATTAATGGATGTCAACTTCTTTATTATGAGGAAAATTTTGGCAGCATCCACAAAAATAAGGAAGAGAATTTATGGATGTCAACTTCTTTATTCTGAGGAACACAATGAAGCTGACAACACAATGTTCCTCATAATAAAGAAGTTGACATCACTAAATTCTCTTCCTTATTCCTGTGGGTGCTGCCAAAATTTAGAACGTGCAGGATATGCCTGATTCTGCGACCAAAACCGTCACTTACTTGCTCGTATGTCGTAAAATGATTATTCGTTATTTGTTTGCTTGTTCTTTAAATACCATTTAGCATTTTGCAACCGTTCCTTGGCGAGCTATAAATATAAAATTTTATATTTGGAACGTTTAGGATAATATGCTGTCTATTATATGTGCATTTGTCGTAAAATAACAATCATAATTTAATGACACTATATTGTATTTTATAACAAACGAATATGTTCCTCTAGTCTTATTTATGGTGGACCTTTGACCTATGCCCCTAGGTGATGTGTCTTAACATGCATATCGAGAGCCACGTAATGCCGAGACGCCCTATCTGATGAATGTATAAGGGACGTTCATTCCGAACAAATATTGGTCATACACATGTATTCATCTCGATGGAGTTATCTACCTTTTGATACTGTGTTTAGAAAAGAGTCATGTTTGTCGTTATTCAGGTCGTGTTCCATGCATTTTAACCGAAACCCGCGCCCACATATAAAAGCGCGGGTGTTTCACGGTGGGTTTCCCCGCGCAAGACACTTACAGACATCGGACTTACGATGGATCTCTCCAAAATCACCGTTATATTATTGTGCGCTTTCTGCCCAGCTCAAGGTAAGGCAGTACTTTCATTTAAATCAATATTTTAGATTGTTTTGTGTATATAAACAAAGCCTTTAAACAATTTGTTTTCTCCATTTCTCCTGTGTTGTCGTTTATTCCCCTGTGTTTGCTGTTTGTTTGTTTGTTTGTTTATTTGTTGTTTAATGTCACACTCAGCAATATTCAAGCTATATGACGATGATCTGTACATAGTCGAATATGGACCAGACAATTCAGTGATTGATATCATGGGCATCGATCCACGCAATTGGGATACGATGACATGCATCAACCAAGTCAGCGAGCCTGACCACCCGATCCCGTTAGTCACCTCTTACGACAAGCATTGTCACCTGTTACAACAAGCATGGGTTGCTGAAGACCTATTCTACCCCGGATCTTCACGGGTCCCGCTTCTATGTTTCTGGTTGTTATTTTAATCCTATCTTAATGTCAGTATTCCTTCCCTTCATCCTTCAGTGATGATGCAATATTACCTTACATTTACTAAGCTTCGAGAGACCTATGCAACGCATATCAACATCACCAATCCCGCTCGTTCTAGAGACAACTCCACTATTTTATCACAGCTGATAGACTATCTACCCCACGCTAATGTAACAGACTACCAGGAGGAGGAGGAGGAGGAGGGGGGGGGGAGTGTATTGGGGGGGGGGGGGGGGGGGGGGGACGTGCCCATCTCGTGGCCAATTTTGCGACCGGGTTCCGTCTCGGCGCAAACGGGCATACCTGAAATAATTGTCAACTCGTGGGTTAATGGTTAACATATATTTCCCCATATATTATATATATTTCAGATGCAATTCAAAGCACATCGGGACATGCGGAATTATACAGTATGATTGAACACATTTAACTTTGTCTTGGGTATATTTTTAGGTGCAAGACATATGTAAAATCAAAAATTATTTCTGAGGGATTCTTTGACGAAGAACTTGAAATCATGCGCGTATTCTGATTGGTTTGTCGTATTTTCGCACATAACATTCATCGATAGTGGGACGAGTGCTCTTGCAGGTTACTGAAAAGGGCGAGTGGTGACAAATGGGGGGGGGGGGGGGGGGGGGGTGTGTGAAGGTGACATAGGTAGAAGTAGACACACACAACAACCAGCCAATCAGCGTTCCTCTCCAGGACAGCGCCCACTCCATTGCTGCCGAGTGGTGCATCCTTTGCAATTTTTATTATGCGTACCTAAAGAGTATGTAGTGATAAAGACTTGAGAATACCTACCTCATCTCTTTTCAGCCATACGGTAGTTCAGTGTGACTTGCATGTGTGAAACGGATGCAGCTCTGGGTTTTCATTTATAAGAGGGGGCACGGGTGGTCTAGTCGTCTAAGGCGCCGCGATTCACTGTGCAGAGTTGCGTCCCTTGGGCATGCCAGAAACCTATGATTGTGGGTTCGAATTCCGGTTCGCCCCGATTATTTTTCTAGGTTTGTCAGCACCATACCCGTGCTCGTGGGTTTCACCGAAGTGGTAAAGGTCTGAGACCTGCATCACTTTCCTCCCACATTAAGCTGACACGCCGTGCTATAACTGGAATAATGTTAAAAGCGACATCAAACTTAACTCACTCACTCATGTACGAGAATAAACAATGTTTGGATTTAAAATTCAACAATTTCTCATTTTACATGTTTGAAAAGCTCAGATTTAATTTCAGTTCTGCATGGAAGAGAATACATCTCGCTAACTCAAACTGTATAATATACCAACACATCGTTGCAGTCCATAATAGTTCATGTTCCCGTCATAAATCTTCTCGGTTCTATGGCCTACTGTTGATACTCCTCTTGTCTCGAAGTACTGATTACATGAACAGGTATGAAACAGTCACCATCTTATTGTAGCAACATACAAATAATGTTTCAAATAACATTACACAAGCAAACAAACAATATGCACAAAAATAGAAATGTTTCCCCCCAAATAGTTTTTAATAATGTTTTCATATGTTTTTGTGCATATTAAATTCATTTTGGAAACAGGGGCAAGAACTGATTTTTCTCCTCGTACTTCGTGTTAACAAGGTGTTCACTGTGTTTGTAGAAAAGACGCAACAGATAGAGTTCATTCACAGTAAAGTTGGATAATATTCGAATATTTGATAATATTAACATCCCTAAAATATGATATTAAACTATGCACTGAAATGTCACCATGAAGCTAATAGTGACGTAATGGACAACAATGCAGAAACTGCTTATGTCTTTCAATAGTGGTATTGTTTGAGATAGCCAGTAGCTCTGTGTCTAGACTTGCTCCAAGTCTGTGGAGATTGATAAGCCCATTGATGTATAGTAACGAAATCTTTATAATGGGAAAGTCTAGATAAGCGGACGCCGGTCTTTCAAAGGGACAACGTGTTCTCATCATTTCCATAATTAGAATTACGATGTAAAGTAAAAGCAATTGCATTAGAGAATTGTGCAAGTCTATTATGTACCTAGCTGCCGCAGAATGAACAATGCAAGCTGTGCTGCCCCACTGACACATATGTCTCCCTATCTGGCGGGCAATGTGGAGACTTCCTACCACTCCACAACACAAGGAACCCAACATCTGTAAAAGCAATAGGCATGGAAAAAAACACTCCACATGCGAAAAAAGCGAACATACTTTAAGAACGTTTCACATATTGATGCCACATTCGCAAGCGACAATTACGTACTCAAGTGGAGGGTGTTGGGTCTTTCACATGGTAATCTTTCGTGTAAACATATTAAAAATAAGATAAGCATGATTTATAGAATTGGTGGAAATATTTGCATATTTGTATGTTTCAAATCAGGTTCTAAATCTAGACATTAAAACATTGACACACTGAGACAAGCGAAACATGTACATTGGGTATGTCTGGAAGTTAAAGGATTGTAAAATGCTGGGTAATTGATTTGAAACAAGGTGTCAGATTTCGCAAACCTTTGCAAGTTTCATTGGAACATGAGTTCTGGGTTGTCATACCGTCTTGCTGTCTGTAAGTACAGTTTGGCTGAGATTTAGAAAAGCCCGCTTGACGATTTCTATCGACAGTATATGAGGTGAAATGGGGTTAACGTCGCGTCCAATATTATTGCACTAACAAAGCGACCTGGGCAAAGTGTGTGGCTGCTTGTACTAGTCCGGACTGATGACGATTTATAGTGAGTGAGTGAGTATGGTTTTACGCCTCTTTTAGCAATATTCCAGCAACATCACGGCAGGGGACACCAGAAATGGGCTTCACACATTGTACCCATGTCGGGAATCGAACCCAGGTCTTCAGCGTGACGAGCGAACGCTTTAACCACTAGGCTACCCGACCGCCCCTTCGATTTATAGCGCTCGCCCACTGATATACAATGCCGCAGTTTAACATGAATACCCTACTCAGACACAGTATACTGACTCGGAACTGGCCAGTCCTTGTTTTAGCCTCTTAATAGAGAGCGCAAGACACGATAACAACAAGTACCATCTTTTAACGTCTTTGGGTATGACGCGGCCGGGGATCGACCCCGGACCTTCCGCTCTTCGGGCAAACGCTCTACCACTAGACCACGGAGGCCGTCCTACGGTTTATGAAAGACAGAATACATAATCCAATAGATTGAGTAATTTCGATGTTTTGCGCCTTCAGTTACAGTAGTCCAGGGACATCAACACACTAGAAGGCACCGAACCCGCATCTCTGGATATCGTCAGACCCATGCTCACAACCCATTGTCCCATGTCATCACTGCGCTGACTCCGAATCTTCACGTAACAAACAGACAAAACTAAAATGTATACAGTAAACTACGGTTTTAACGAACTCAAAGGGACTACTAATGTTAGTTCGTTATAACCGTAGTTCGTTATAAGCATAGTTACGGCATAACCACAGCAAATAGTCGGGACCAAAAAAGTAAGTTCGTTATATCCGTCAGTTCGTTATAAGCGTAACTTATTTCTGGCAGAAATATACATATGGGTTGATGAGTTATCGCCTTTCTGCAAGAGCATACATTTCAGCATTTTGTTATTTTGTTATTTTTTATTTTATTTTATTTTTATTTTTTTTTTGGGGGGGGGGGGGGGGCTCCCACAGGAGATATCGCTTGGGTGAGATCAAGCGATTTATTACTTGCCCGTGAAAAGATCACCCGTTTAATAAACATACAGCTGTATTACACATTGTGTAATACCAAAACGCGTGCTTATGTACTCTCGGAACACGTTTCACGAACAAATATTGAAAGCTCTCAACATACCTTGGCTTATTCAAAGACATTGTGTGTGGAGATAATGGATCACTGAGAGGAGCTTATGCACACTCGATGACCCCAGCAACCTTGTTGCTAGGCTGACGTCACATGGCATTGTTTCGCCGAAGGAACTTGCAACAAAATTCCACAAATTACGTCATCGGGTATTGTGACGTGATTGTAAACTTTGAGGTGCAAGGCCCCGTTCCACAAGGCGATCCTACTGTAGCGCAACGACAGTCGTTGGTCTAAGTTAAAGTATGTGAGTTGCGATAACCTTAACGCTACGATAATTTTGTGGAACGGACGCCTGAAAATTCTAAAGGTGGACCGTTGTATGGTATTAAATTCATACGTTTCAACTTTTGACGTGTTTGAAGTATTACTCAACTCAATCGGATTATGCCGTGGATCGTGTAGGTGTCAGCCTATTCACACTCGAGAGGATAATTCTAAAAACGTTATAAATGGCAAGTAATAAATAAAATACTAAACTCGCTCCCGTGTAAAACCAATTTTATGAAACTCGTGAATAGTTGTGGTATCTGACTCGCTTTCGCTCGTCAGATACCGCAACTATTCACTCGTTTCATAAAATTGGTATTACACAGAAGCTCGTTTAGTATTCTGTATATCTACACTGTAGATATCGCTGCAATGAAATTGCATCACAATGCTTTGCAGACCATTGTGACGTCATTGGTTACCATGACGTCACAATCAAATGACATCACTAATGGCTCTGCTACTGAAGCTGTAAGCAGTACTTTTTTACACTTAAGACACTGCTAATTACTGTCTACAAACTGAAAAATGATGTTGGATGATAAATAAAATCGTTGATAAAAGTGGAAAAAAACCTCGGCAAGCCGCGGAGTTTTCCCACTTTTATCAACTTGTGTTGATATATTTGATATCAAAAGACACTCGGGTGAGATTCTCTATATATCGAACTAGTGGTGTAATAGTCTTACAATAGTAGTGTAATAGTGGTACATTGTGATACAATAGTGGTACAATTGTGGTACAAAAGTGGTGTAATAGTGGTACAATTGGGGTACAATGGTGGTGTAATAGAGGTTCAATAGTGGTGTAATAGAGGTACAATAGTGGTACAATTGGGGTACAATGGGGGTGTAATAGAAGTACAATAGTGGTGTAATAGAGGCACAAAAGTGGTACAATAGAGGTACAATAGTGGTGTAATTGTGGTACAATTGTGGTACAAAATAGTGGTGCAATGGTGGTGTAATACTGGTACAATAGTGGTGTAATAGTGGTACAATAGTGGTACAATAGTGGTGTAATAGTGGTACAATAGGGGTACAATAGCGGTGTAATAGTGGTACAATAGTGGTACACTAGTGGTACAATTGGGGTACAATGGGGGTGTAATAGAGGTACAATAGTGGTGTAATAGAGGCACAAAAGTGGTACAATTGTGGTACAATAGAGGTACAATAGTGGTGTAATTGTGGTACAATTGTGGTACAATAGTGGTGCAATGGTGGTGCAATAGTGGTGTAATACTGGTACAATAGTGGTGCAATAGTGGTGTAATAGTAGTACAATAGCGGTGTAATAATGGTACAATAGCGGTGTAATAGTGGTACAATAGTGGTACAATAGTGGTACAATTGGGGTACAATGGGGGTGTAATAGAGGTACAATAGTGGTGTAATAGAGGCACAAAAGTGGTACAATTGTGGTACAATAGAGGTACAATAGTGGTGTAATTGTGGTACAATTGTGGTACAATAGTGGTGCAATGGTGGTGTAATACTGGTACAATAGTGGTGTAATAGTGGTACAATAATGGTACAATAGTGGTACAATAGTGGTGTAATAGTGGTACAATAGGGGTACAATAGTGGTACAATAGTTTGCAATAGTTTTCAATTTCAGTTGTTATTATGTATAAAATTGAATACATCTATATCTGCATCGTTACAATATCAGGTCATCGGTTAACCCACATATCTGAATAGCTGATATCAAACAGTTATCTAGTTCACGGCCCCATTTAGTCTGCTATGCACTTCCCGTGCTTGGGGGCAACGTCCGCTCCACATCTATGTGTGTTTATTATCCCATTCCGCTATCATGGAATGAGTATACTTATGCAGAAGAAAACAGATACCACCTACACCATGGGAGGTAACTCTTAAAGTTAAAGAGGATCACAGAGCGCATGTCTCTGTTATTTGACGTATGAAGCTGGTGTAGAAGATGCGGTTATTTACAAAATCCACGCATACGGCTATTGTGATGACGGACCATGATCACAATCCGGGCGAATCTGGGATTCGAACCTTCGACCAGTTTACCCTGGCATGACTGATACAAAAGCACCGAATAATTGTATCTTTGGCAGACCTCTTCTTGAGTTTCCATTGGAAGTTTAGTATCAAAAACTGAAAAGAGAAAAATATTATTTAGTTCTTGAACACCTCAAATAGTCCCATACCATTTTGGGGTTCTTTTACCGGGAGAAAAGGGTCACAGAACTTAAACCTGGTCGAGCGAGGACAATACATAGGGATGGCTGAGTATGCGCAGCACAACCATGGGTTACAAGCTGGATGTATCAAATCTCAGATTTGACCATATGTCTGAGGTAATGCCCACAGCTTCGGTTCCCGACATGGGTACAATGTGTGAAGCCCCTTTCTGGCGTCACCTGCTGTGATATTGCTGGAATACTGCTAAACGCGGCGTAAAATCATACTCACTCACTCACTCACTCACTCACACACCCTTACTTACCCACCCACCCACTCACTCACTCACTCACTCACTCACTCACTCACTCACTTACCCACCCACTCACTCACTCACTCACTCACTCTATGCCCACTGCTGTACTGTAATTGTTACATTCAATCTGCTGTTATATAACTGCAATTCCAGGGTGGTTCTTCAGTGCCTTTAAGACCCGACGTGTGTGTTATGAAGGCTACAAGCTTGGGTGTTTTTCTGCGGCCGCTCCCTACACGAACACTAACTACCTCCCCCGTTCACCGGACAGCCTGGGGGTCAAGTTCAAGTTCTTCGCCAGCCCCACCATCTATCACACACTGGACCTCAAGTACAACCTCCGGAGACTACAGTCGAGGAACGTCTTCCGGCCAGATCTGCCCACCAAGGTCATCATCCACGGCTTCAATGACAGGGGAGATAACCCATGGGTCAAAAATATGGTAAAGGAACTATTGAAAAAGGTAAATAATATTTTGATAATATTATTGACTATTTTCTTTAAACCGCGAAGGATGGCTCTCCCTACAAAAGGAGGAATAATACAAAAATGGGTTGTTGCTTTTCACAAATCTCAACAACAAAACCACCCTGATGTAGATCCATCTGGGAATCGAACTTACTCTTTGGCTTTACATTCAAAGAAACGAACTACGTAGTAGTTTCGTTCACTTCGTTTTTATTTCATTTACTTCATAACAGTTTCTATTTCATTTATTTCATAAGAGTTTTTGTTTCATTTACTTCATAACAGTTTTTGTTTCATTTACTTCATGTCAGTGTCTATTTCATTTACTTCATGTCAGTGTCTATTTCATTTACTTCATGTCAGTGTCTAATTCATTTACTTCATGTCCGTTTCTGTTTCATTTACTTCATGTCAGTGTCTATTTCATTTACTTCATGTCAGTTTCTATTTCATTTACTTCATGTCAGTGTCTATTTCATTAACTTCATGTCAGTGTCTAATTCATTTACTTCATGTCCGTTTCTGTTTCATTTACTTCATGTCAGTGTCTATTTCATTTACTTCATGTCAGTTTCTATTTCATTTACTTCATGTCAGTGTCTATTTCATTAACTTCATGTCAGTGTCTATTTCATTAACTTCATGTCAATTTCTATTTCATTAACTTCATGTCAGTTTCTATTTCATTTACTTCATGTCAGTTTCTATTTCATTTACTTCATGTCAGTTTCTATTTCATTTACTTCATATCAGTTTGTTTTTCACATACTCCATATCAGTGTTTACTTCATTTACGACAAAGACTACACAAACAAAATATTATTATTTTTATTTACATTTTAATCAGTAAAGTGCGCTTTTCCACAGGCTATCTGTGTCTTTAGTTTTGGAATTTTATTCCCTGAAGTCATCTTCGATATTCCAGTGTTCGTTTACCCAGTCTTAAATCCAGATAAATATCCTTGACCATTCGCCACTATAGTTTTCATTTGAGTTTCATAACAAGTGACGCTTAAATAGCTATGCAATCAAATTACACCCAGAAGCGAGATAAATTCTTTGGATAGTAAAAGAGAGGGATTGATAATGAAAAGAAGTCTAAGTAGGTCATAGGAGTAGTTCAATTTTAATTGGCATGAACATGGTGAATGATGAAGGTAATATGATGGCAGGCACTTATGGTGAGGTGATCAGGTTATTGGCAATATGGAAAGTTCAGGAAAACGTTCAGAAGAAGCTCTAGAAGTCAACAAGTTAAACCATGTGCTCACATGGTGGCTGCCATACTTTTTTGTTCTAAAACATGGAACTGGAATGGATTGGGATCCTCATGAATTATGCAAAAAGTTGGAATTGGCATGCCAGAACCGAAATATGAATAGGAAATATTTTAAGGCTTTCTGACAGATAATACACTGGACAATCGAGAATGAGTGTGTTAGGGACAAAAAGATTGAATAGAAAGGTATATACATATATACAACATGCATGAACATTTTTTCGGTTACGTGTAAATGGGCAGTAATGTGAGCCATACTAGTCAATCGATACACATTACCTACTTTTGTTTCTGGTTTAGACTCAATGCGATGGCCCAGTCGGTGGTGCTGCAATTCGCTATGTAGAATTGCGTCCTTTGTTCACGCCAGAATCCTATGATCGTGCGTGCGGATACCAGGTCGCCCCTATTATGTTTCTAGGTTTGTCAGCACCAGACCCGTGCGCGTGGGCTTCAGGTAAAGGTCTTAGACCAGCATCACTTCGGGCTTTCCTCCCACATCAAGCTGAAACGCTGTGATATAATTGGAATACTATTCAGAGCGGCGAATGGTGGTAATTTCAAGATATTAAGAGAAGTAATAATGAAAAAGAGAAAATGTCAGTAATGTCTGTTCAGAGTGTAAACGATTGTGCTGCCCATTCTTGCAGGGTTCAATGAACGTTGTGGTAGTTGACTGGAGAAAAGGGGCCAGTGCTTTCGACTACCAGCAGGCCGTTGCCGATATCAGAGTCGTTGGCGCCATGACAGCCAGACTGCTCACCAAACTTCAGGAACAAGGCGCAGACTCGGCCACCTTCCACCTGATTGGCCACAGTCTCGGCGCTCATGTCGCAGGGTATGCCGGGAGAAGGAGCACAGACACCGGACGAGTCGGACGCATCACGGGTAGGGTATAGTTATGTTCGACACATATGCGTCCTTCCTTTGTCCTATGTGGAACCCTTTGCATTCCGAGATAAACTGTCGACCTCTGACAAGAAAATCCGTTAGTTACATTCCAATATCAACACGACAGGTAGTCTCGTTGTCAATCCTATTAAAATCAGATCTTAGTTCTCACTATCGCTAAACAAAAATCTGAGAAGATCCCATTACGGGTCACGTCAGAACGACCTTCCATCCAACCAGTCAGAGCGTCGCTTACCAGATCATGAAAGTGACAGTCGGAATGTGTTTTCTAATCATGTGCAACCACGATATATTTAACACGGGGTATCACGAACGACAATTACGGGTTTTATGATTATATCCATACAATCTAGGCCATCTATAAGCCATTCCAGAATGTTCTTATCAGTTTTAATTTGTTTAATCGAGAATACGTCAAAATATGTTTCGAAGCGTAGTCGCCAGTTGAAACTAGTGTCGACAAGCTCGAGAAAGCTACCTTCTGATTGGCCAATGTCGATTTCTTGTCAGTCATTTCATTGGTCGGTCAAAATTCGCGAAAGGTCGTTCTGACGTGACCCGTAATGGGATGTCCTCAGATCTTTGTTTAGCGGTAGCGAAAACTAAGATCTGATTTCAATGAGATTGTCTCGTTGTTAAATAGTTGACTTCCACGCAGAAGGACCGACTATAACGTGTGAATCTCGTTGTTGTTGATCGCCTCCGTGGCCTTGTGCTGGAGCGTCCGCCCAGAGATCGGAAAGTGTGCATAAGCTCCTCTCAGTGACCTATCATCTCCACACGCAGTCATTGAAAAAGCCCAGGGATGTTGAGAGTTTTCAATATTTGTGAATCTTGTTCCCGCAGTACATAAGCACGCGCTTTGGTATTAAACACTGTGTAATACAGCTGTATGTTTAAACAGGTGATCGCTTCTCGGGAGAGTAATAATTTGATTTACCGGACCGAGAGTCTTAAGATACATCATATTTCGGGTTATAGCGAAAACGGCACCTCAGCAAAACGTCACCGGGCGAAAACGGCGCCGATTGGCGAAAACGGCACCTCGACTCAAGCGAAAACGGCTACTATTGCCTGGCGAAAACGGCACCTTATTTATTTTTTACCTTGGTCAAAAAAGTGCTATTAAACTAATATGGTAACTTGCAAACACCAATATAATTGTGAGATGCTAAAACAAGTTTACATTAGAAATTAGCCTCTACTCCAACTATAATCCAACTTAGCTTATACACAACACAACTTATTGTGAAAACATGACATGCTTTGAAGAAAAATAACTCAGTTTAAACTGAAACTGTATTTAGAGGCCTAACATGGTGCTGTCAGATCACAATTATTCACAATGGCCTTTCGATGTGTTGCATGAGAGAAGAATGTCAGAAAACAACAACATGCTGTGATAACTGTGACCATGTAAATAAACCATATATATTACCACAAAAATCGTTCTTATCATTATTAAAAATAGAGGTGCCGTTTTCGCCCGACTCATAGTAGCCGTTTTCGCCAAATGCGGTGCCGTTTTCGCCAGAGAAATCGGTGACGTTTTGGTGAGGTGCCGTTTTAGCCTGCACCCCACATTTCAGCCAAAAGGATGTTTGAACTGGTACTGATAAATTCGTTACATGTGTCAAAAGCGGTGTCTTCGGCATTTTACGAGCTGACCGTATATACTAGTAATCCTTAGCATGTCTATTGACACTTTGATTGTGTCAGAGGGGGTTTCTTACGACGCTCAACAGTTTACAATTCTATTCCTAGTCAATCTCATTAAAATCAGATCTTAGTTCTCGCTACCGCTAAACAAAGATCTGAGGACATCCCATTAGGGGTCACGTCAGAACGACCTTGCGCGAACTTTGACCGACCAATGGAATGACCAATCAGAAGGCAGCTTTCTCGTGCTTTACAGCACTAATTTCAAATTGGCGACTACGCTTCGAAACATATTTTGACAAATTCTCGATTACAAATTTGAACCTAAACAAAAGAACATTCTGGAATGGCTAAAAGATGGTCTAGATTGTATGGATTCAGTCGTTAAACCTGTAACTTTCGTTCGGAATACCCCGTGTTAAAGTTTTCGAGGTTGTATGATGAGAGATCACATTCCGACTGTCACTGTCATGATCTGATAAGCGACGCTCTGATTGGTCGGATGAAAGGTCGTTCTGACGTGACCCCTAGTGGGATGTCTTCAGATCTTTGTTTAGCGGCAGCGAGAACTGAGATCTGATTTTAATGAGATTGATTCCTTGTCAAAAGACTTGAATCAAATTACCCGATTCTAGTACTTCCTTTAAAAACGTGACAACCTCTCTTTCAGGGCTGGATCCCGCTGGGCCGTCATTCGAGGATACGAACCCCACAGTGAGGCTGGACCCCACTGACGCCGTCTTCGTGGACGTCATCCACACCGACACAGAGCCGTTAACACGAATGGGTGAGATTCTTGCTCTAACGCCACATAATCAAAAGACTGTAATTATACAAATACACCACTCTTCCCGTGAACTGTTCCATGAAGAGGATCAAAGGTGGCCACCGAACGCTCATTCAAAGCGCTGCTCAATCCCAAATCGAGGCTGACGTATTCGTGCTATTTTTAGAATAACTCGAATCGTTTACAGATGTCCTAACTTATAACTCCCGTGTGATGTAGAGAAAGCGATTTCATCTGTGACGTAGTTACGTTTCGTGTTACTTGAGGTTTTCCAGCCCTTTGGTGTCACGCGACAGTTTCCTTTATGTATGTGTGAAATGGCCACAGCTATGTATCCATACGCCACTACATGGTTTTAGTCCATGCAAATAGTTCAGGATCTTTCAGGATGACGCTGCATCTGTTCCCCTGTGAGATGACAGTACGTGGTTGAGTTTAGGGAAACGCCTCTTTGAACAGTTTTCATTAAGTCAGGGAATGTCAGCTTAATTCCGACCAGCCTGGTTCCCTGTGTATGCTGCGCTGGCGCTACACTCAAGCGCAGCGCAGCATACCCAGGGAACCAGGCTGAATTCCGACATGACGCAAGCTCGAGAGCAAGGGCGGATTCAGTATTTTTTCCAACATATCAAAATCCTCTGTCAGTTGGGGGTACATTGTCTACAACAAACTACGTTTGGTTTTCAAAAGGGGTGGGTGTGCAACAAACGAGCAGTGTTATAGTGCTGACTTTTACAAGGACGATGAAGGATCGGTCTTGAAGCCATGACCGACCGGCGGACACGGAAACAGCTTATTGAGGCGAAAGTCAATTGTTTGCACCTTAGACAACTGGCCATCGTGTCCCATCATATCCTTTTGGCCCCGTTCCACAAAGCAATCTTAGCGCTAAGGTAATCGTATTCCCATACTTTAAAGAAGGCTTACGATCATCGTAGCGCTAAGATCGCTTTGTGGAACGGGGCTCTGAACTGGTGGTAGCATAGTGGCTCGCAATCTTAGCGCTAAGGTAATCGTAACTCCCATACTTTAACGAAGGCTTACGATCATCGTAGCGCTAAGATCGCTTTGTGGAACAGGGCTCTGAACTGGTGGTAGCATAGTGGCTCGCAATCTTAGCGCTAAGGTAATCGTATTCCCATACTTTAAAGAAGGCTTACGATCATCGTAGCGCTAAGATCGCTTTGTGGAACGGGGCTCTGAACTGGTGGTAGCATAGTGGCTCGCAATCTTAGCGCTAAGGTAATCGTAACTCCCATACTTTAACGAAGGCTTACGATCATCGTAGCGCTAAGATCGCTTTGTGGAACAGGGCTCTGAACTGGTGGTAGCATAGTGGCTCGCAATCTTAGCGCTAAGGTAATCGTAAATCCCATACTTTAACGAAGGCTTACGATCATCGTAGCGCTAAGATCGCTTTGTGGAACGGGGCTCTGAACTGGTGGTAGCATAGTGGCTCGCAATCTTAGCGCTAAGGTAATCGTAACTCCCATACTTTAACGAAGGCTTACGATCATCGTAGCGCTAAGATCGCTTTGTGGAACGGGGCCCTGTACTTGTGGTAGCATAGTGGTTAGTGGCTCGCAATCTTAGCGCTAAGGTAATCGTAACTCCCATACTTTAACGAAGGCTTACGATCATCGTAGCGCTAAGATCGCTTTGTGGAACGGGGCTCTGAACTGGTGGTAGCATAGTGGCTCGCAATCTTAGCGCTAAGGTAATCGTAACTCCCATACTTTAACGAAGGCTTACGATCATCGTAGCGCTAAGATCGCTTTGTTGAACGGGGCCCTGTACTTGTGGTAGCATAGTGGTTAGTGGCTCGCAATCTTAGCGCTAAGGTAATCGTATTCCCATACTTTAACGAAGGCTTACGATCATCGTAGCGCTAAGATCGCTTTGTGGAACGGGGCTCTGAACTGGTGGTAGCATAGTGGCTCGCAATCTTAGCGCTAAGGTAATCGTAACTCCCATACTTTAACGAAGGCTTACGATCATCGTAGCGCTAAGATCGCTTTGTGGAACGGGGCCCTGTACTTGTGGTAGCATAGTGGTTAGTGGCTCGCAATCTTAGCGCTAAGGTAATCGTATTTCCATACTTTAACGAAGGCTTACGATCATCGTAGCGCTAAGATCGCTTTGTGGAACGGGGCTCTGAACTGGTGGTAGCATAGTGGCTCGCAATCTTAGCGCTAAGGTAATCGTAACTCCCATACTTTAACGAAGGCTTACGATCATCGTAGCGCTAAGATCGCTTTGTGGAACGGGGCTCTGAACTGGTGGTAGCATAGTGGCTCGCAATCTTAGCGCTAAGGTAATCGTAACTCCCATACTTTAACGAAGGCTTACGATTATCGTAGCGCTAAGATCGCTTTGTGGAACGGGGCTCTGAACTGGTGGTAGCATAGTGTTAAGTGGCTCGCGTGTCCTATAGTGCAGTGACTGGTGTATTGTGGTTTTCCAGGCATGGGCATCAAACAGTTGAGCGGCCACGTGGACTTTTACCCTAATGGCGGCGTAGACCAGCCCGGATGTCCCGCCCACATCGCCCACATGCTTGTGACGCTCCTGTCGGGGCAATCAAGTAAGTCTAAATGCTATTTCCCTCACAGACTAGTAGATGAAAGCTAGTCTGACTAGGACCTTACTTCTGAATGTCTCAGATTTCCTCAGATAGATCATACATATCTACAGCCTTCTCAATAGGGTAACTGTACAAGGCGCATGGGACCCGTGAAGATCCGGAGGGGGATAGGTCTTCAGCAACCCATGCTTGCAGTAAAAGGTGACTATGCTTGTCGTAAAAGGCGACTAACGGGATCGGGTGGTCAGGCTCGCTGACTTGGTTGATACATGTTATTGTATCCAAATTGCCTGGATTGATGCTCATGATATCATTCACTGGATTGTCTGGTCCAGACTTGATTATTTACAGACCGCCGTCATATGGCTGGAATATTGCTGAGTGCGGCGTAAAACAACAAACAAACAAGGCGCATGGAGTTTAAGTCTGAGAGGTAGTGACATCTAGAACATATTCAGCATTGGGAGTGTCCCCAAAAATCTCCTCAATGAGGTTTTATACATCGAGGGGAGATAGAGGGTTCATAAGGTACCGGTTATTTGATAGTCACTCGTCAATATATCGCTGGAACAATTCCGATCCGACGTTAAAGTTTATTCACTCACTAACTCATTTTATATTCCGGGATTAGACTAAAATCTAGTCTCTGAAATGAACATATCGTACATAAAAAAACAGTTATTCAGTTATCTTAATAAAAATATAATAAAAAGGAGCCCAGTGACGCTCTTCATTTTCAGATACTGCAGTGATCTAGACTTGCCAAACATTATAGACTTGCATGGGCTGTATTTGATATATATTTGTATCAGGGTATGTAAGACAGACTAATTCCGGGATGGGCCTGGGATTTTACCGAAAAAAACATATTGTCATATAAAATTCTTGACAAAAAATAAGTATTCTTCAGACAGTTGAAAAACAAGAACGTTGTGTTCCTAATAAGTTGACATCCATAAATTCTCTCCCTTATGAGTATCACATATAAAAGCCTTTCAAAAACTTGAAGAAATTGTCTGCCAAAAAAATACATTGTTGCAATGTTTTTAACAAATATATTTGGGTTCATAGTCTCAATTTAAAAAATACATGTTTGCGGATGTAGTCAAAACTTACGGAGATACGTTCATGCTGAATAGAGGGTTTTCTAGGGTAATAGGGTTACATTATCCCTCGTCTTGCGAACACAGTGAGTCATGTCATACCAAATAACGGTCTGTTTGTCCTGTTCATGTGACCGAGAAACGTGCATGACTACTTCTAAAGATATTGATGGGAAGTTCAGAGAGATCATGCGTTCGCTGACTTGTAGGTACGTACGTTGGCCCATAAGGGACATGGAGTCTGTTTTTTAATATTTTGATATTTCACTCACTGTTATCGTAACCTTTTGCAAATTAACACGATTTGTCAAACAAATATGTGATAAATCACGTATAAAGAAGATATTGAATCGCTGAAAAGTGAAGCGAAAATGTCAAAATTAAAATTAAAATGTCAAAAACACAAACGAAAATGTCAAAAACTAAAATTAAAATGTCAAAAACAAAAACGAAAATGTCAAAAACAAAAGCGAAAATGTCAAAAACTAAAATGAAAATACAGAAAACTATTTCCACCGCGGTGATAATATTCATTTTAGTTTTTGACATTTTCGCTTTTGTTTTTGACATTTTCGTTTTTGTTTTTGACATTTTCGTTTTTGTTTTTGACATTTTCGCTTCACATTTCAGCGATTCAATAGCTACTTGAAAGTACATTTTCCATGTTTTCGGTTGTTTTTAGATATGATTTATTTCATAATTTATTTGTATGACAAAATTGTGTTAATTTGCAAAAGGTTACCATAAAAGTAAGTGAAATATCAAAATATTGAAAAACAGACTCCATGTCCCTTATGGTCCACCGTAGGTTCGGCTTTATAGATAACTTTGTTTTTTTTTCCAGCTTTCATTGGATCGTTTGCCTGCAGTCATATGAGAGCGGTTTACATATTCACCGAGTCAATTAACTCCTTGTGTCAATTCAAGGCTACCCGATGTCCATCAACCAAAAATATTACCCACAATGCCTGTACCGGATGTCCTGAAACCGGATGTCCACGAATGGGTTTCTACGCAGACTCAAACAAAAGCCCTGGAATATATTTCACATCAACACACGATAAAGCACCATTTTGTATATGATCACTAGTATCTTAGAAATATGAACATTAACATATACGCAAAACGTACAAATGTCCCATTTAGGCTTCATGATCTTAAAACTGCTTCAGTATGACATAAGTATAGTAATAATTCATAATTATATCACTTAGTGTTCATTCCTAATTATTGTTTGGTTGGAGGTTGGATTTTCATTTAAATCTTTTTTTCTGTTTTCATGCTTCGTTGGAAAAGATTGACCTCAATGTTTTTTACCTTATTAACAAAACAGACCCGTGTTACAAAGTAGACACAATTTATGGATAACAACTTCTGTTTTTACTGTAAAGGCGACGTTTCGGAATAGATCATTCAGCCTTTGTCAAGCAAGCAAGCTGTAAAGGCGATGTTTCGGAATAGATCATTTAGCCTTTGTCAAGCAAGCAAGCTGTAAAGGCGATGTTTCGGAATAGATCATTCAGCCTTTGTCAAGCAAGCAAGCTGTAAAGGCGATGTTTCGGAATAGATCATTTAGCCTTTGTCAAGCAAGCAAGCTGTAAAGGCGACGTTTCGGAATAGATCATTTAGCCTTTGTCAAGCAAGCAAGCTGTAAAGGCGACGTTTCGGAATAGATCATTTAGCCTTTGTCAAGCAAGCAAGCTGTAAAGGCGACGTTTCGGAATACGGATCTACACCGAAACGTCGCCTTTACAGTAAATATGGAAGTTGTTATCCATCCGTCAACTTCTAAATAATGCCTAACAAAGTATCGACCCTTGATATGCGAAACACAAATAAAATATGCAAATTCAAAACTGTTTTATTTCATACCATTGAGTTCGCACGGCGTTTTTTATTAATATAGTCATGCTAGAAACGGTCGTAACTGACATAGGATTACCGATCGTGGAGGTCATCTGTTTCTTCCCCCTTACTTTACCAAACAGTGTCGACCGCCTCATTGGTCTAGTAGACAGAGCGTCTGCCCGGAGAGCAGAAGGTGTGTGTGCGTGTGTGTGTGTGTGTGTGTGTGTGTGTGTGTGTGTGTGTGTGTGTGTGTGTGTGTGTGTGTGGCTGCTTGTACTAGTCCGGACTGATGCCGATTTATAGTGCTAGCACACTGAGATACCATGCCGCAGTTTAACATGAATACCCCACTCAGACACAGTATACTGACTCCGAGCAGACCAGTCCTTGTTTTAGCGCCTGAATGCCGAGCGCAAGTACCATCTTTTAACGCCTTTTGGTTCATTGTAAATCATTTTGTTCTTGTTTTCAACAACGTTGATATACTAATGGAAAGTATTGGGAACATATAGCCGGTGTCTATAATGTAACACATAACTGGTGTCTAGTATGTAACACATAGTGGGTGTCTAATATGTAACATATAGCGGGTGTCTGGTATGTAAGTTATAGCGGGTGTCTGGTATATAACATATAGTGGGTGTCTAGTATGTAACATATAGCGGGTGTCTGGTATGTAAGTTATAGCGGGGGTCTGGTATATAACATATAACGTGTGTCTGGTATGTCACACATAGCGGGTGTCTGGTATGTAACATACAGCGGTGTCTGGTATGTAACATATAGCGGGTGTCTTCTATGTAACATATAGCGGGTGTCTGGTATGTAACACATAGCGGGTGTCTAGTATGTAACATATAGCGGGTGTCTGGTATGTAACATATAGCGGGGGTCTGGTATTTAACATATAGCAGGTGTTTAGTATGTAACATAAAGCGGGTGTCTGGTATGTAACATATAACGGGTGTCTGGTATGTAACATATAGCAGGTGTCTAGTATGTAACATATTGCGGGGGTCTGGTATGTAACATATAACGGGTGTCTGGTATGTAACACATAGCGGGGGTCTGGTATATAACATATAACGGGTGTCTGGTATGTAACATATTAGCGGGTGTCTGGTATGTAACATATAGCGGGTGTCTTGTATGAAACATATACCGGGTGTCGTGTATGTAACATATAGCGTGTGTCTAGTAATGTAGCATATAACGGTTGTCTAGTATGTAACATATAGCGGGGGTCTGGTATGTAACATATAGCGGGTGTCTGGTATGTAACATATAGCGGGTGTCTAATATGTAACATATAGCGGGGGTCTGGCATGTAACATATATCGGGTGTCTGGTATGTAACATATAGCGGGTGTCTGGTATGTAACACATAGCAGGTGTCTGGTATGTAACACATAGCGGGTGTCTAGTATGAAACATATGGTGTGTGTCTAGTAATGTAGCATATAACGGGTGTCTAATATGTAACATATAGCGGTTGTCTAGTATGTAACATATAACGGGTGTCTAGTATGTAACATATAACGGGTGTCTAGTATGTAACATATAACGGATGTCTAGTATCTAACATATAGCGGGTGTCTAGTATGAAACATATGGTGTGTGTCTAGTAATGTAGCATATAACGGGTGTCTAATATGTAACATATAGCGGTTGTCTAGTATGTAACATATAGCGGGTGTCTGGTATGTAACATATAGCGGGTGTCAGGTATGTAACATATATCGGGTGTCTGGTATATGACATATAGCTGGGGTCTGGTATGTAACATATTAGCGGGCGTCTTGTATGTAACATATAACGGGTGTCTAGTATGTAACACATAGCGGGTGTCTAGTATGTAACATATAACGGGTGTCTAGTATGTACCATATAACGGGTGTCTAGTATGTAACACATAGCGGGGGTCTGGTATATAACATATAACGGGTGTCTGGTATGTCACACATAGCAGGTGTCTGGTATGTAACATATTGCGGGGATCTGGTATGTAACATATAATGGGTGTCTAGTATGTAACATGTAGCGGGTGTCTGGTATGTAACATATAGCATGTGTCTGGTATATACATATATCGGGGATCTGGTATGTAACATATAGCGGGTGTCTGGGATGTAACACATCGCGGGTGTCTGGTATATAACATATAACGGGTGTCTGGTATGTAACACATAGCAGGTGTTTAGTATGTAACATAAAACGGGTGTCTGGTATGTAACATATAACGGGTGTCTGGTATGTAACATATAGCGGGGGTCTGGTATATAACATATAACGGGTGTCTGGTATGTAACATATTAGCGGGTGTCTGGTATGTAACATATAGCGGGTGTCTTGTATGAAACATATAACGGGTGTCGTGTATGTAACATATAACGGGTGTCTAGTATGTAACATATCGCGGGTGTCTAGTATGTTACATATAATGGGTGTCTTGTATCTAACATATTGCGGGGGTCTGGTATATAACATATAGCGTGTGTCTAGTAATGTAGCATATAACGGGTGTCTAGTATGTAACATATCGCGATTGTCTAGTATGTTACATATAATGGGTGTCTTGTATCTAACATATTGCGGGTGTCTGGTATGTAACATATTGCGGGGATCTGGTATGTAACATATAATGGGTGTCTAGTATGTAACATGTAGCGGGTGTCTGGTATGTAACATATAGCGTGTGTCTGGTATGTAACATATATCGGGGATCTGGTATATAACATATATCGGGGGTCTGGGATGTAACACATAGCGGGTGTCTGGTATGTAACACATAGCGGTTGTCTTGCATGTAACATATAACGGGTGTCGTGTATGTAACATATAACGGGTGTCTGGTATGTAACACATAGCAGGTGTCTGGTATGTAACACATAGCGGTTGTCTTGCATGTAACATATAACGGGTGTCGTGTATGTAACATATAGCGTGTGTCTAGTAATGTAGCATATAACGGGTGTCTAGTATGTAACATATCGCGGGTGTCTAGTATGTTACATATAATGGGTGTCTTGTATCTAACATATTGCGGGGGTCTGGTATGTAACATATTGCGGGGGTCTAGTATGTATCATATAACGGGTGTCTGTTATGTTACACATAGCGGGTGTCTGGTATGTAACATATAGCATGGGTCTGGTATGTAGCATATAGCGGGTGTCTTCTATGTAACATACAGCGGGTGTCTGGTTTGTAACACATAGCGGGTGTCTAGTATGTAACAGATATCGGGTGTCTGGTATGTAACATATAGCAGGTGTCTGGTATATAACATATAACGGGTGTCTGGTATGTAACACATAGCAGGTATCTGGTATGTAACATATAGCGGGTGTCTTGTATGTAACATATAGCGGGTGTCTAGTATGTAACATATAACGGGTGTCTAGTATGTAACATATAGCGGGTGTCTAGTATGTAACATATAGCGGGTGTCTAGTATGTAACATATATCGGGTGTCTGTCATGTAACATATATCGGGTGTCTGGTATGTAACACATAGCGGGTGTCTGGTGTTTAACATATAGCGGGTGTCTGGTATGTAACATATAGCGGGTGTCTGGTATGTAACATATAGCCGGGGTCTGGCATGTAACATATATCGGGTGTCTGGTATGTAACATATAGCGGGTGTCTGGTATGTAACATATGGCGGGGATCTGGTATGTAACATATAGTGGGTGTCTGGTATGTAACATATAGCGGGTGTCTTGTATGTAACATATAGCGTGTGCCTAGTATGTAACATATATAGGGTGCCTAGTATGCAACATATAGTGGGGGTGTGGTATGTAACATATAGCGGGGGTCTGGTATGTAACATATAGCGGGGGTCTGGTATGTAACATATAGTGGGTGTCTGGTATGTAACATATAGCGTGTGCCTAGTATGTAACATATATAGGGTGCCTAGTATGTAACATATAGTGGGGGTGTGGTATGTAACATATAGCGGGGGTCTGGTATGTGACATATAGCGGGTGTCTTGTACTTAACATACATCTGTATGCTGTTCCCCACCGGTGTCGATCACAGTTCATCAAAAAGCAGGACAATTTTGACCATATTATTCTTTCAAGGTAATACAAAACTTTTTCAATGCAAAATTAGTTCCTCTTCAACTGGCGAGACAAGAGGGAGCTGTTCCACAAGGCTATCGTAACTCCCATTCTTCAACAATGACTTACGACAGTCGTAGCGCTAAGATTGTTTCGTGGAACGTGGCCCTGATCGTTTGAGTTACCCACCTTGTGTGAAGCTCGGCAATTGTCGAGGAACTCTGGGGGTCTGATGACCACACATAACTGACCAGCTGACAGTTTTATTACAAGACAAGATCCTTCTGCCCATTTAACTCGAGTAGTCAGGTAAAACAAAATTCCTGAAAGCCGTTCCTTTATTTAGTCTCATCAGTATACATTGTTTCCACAACAGTGATTGTTTTAAGCCGCTTTTGGTAATGTTCCATAAAAAAATGGACCCATTTTTGGAATCGAACCAGAGTTTTCGGTATGACGAGTGAATTCTGCACCTGCTAGCATACCCGATCTTCCCTCATTTATCCGAGGCGAAGGAGTTACACTGACTAAAAGTCTAGTTTCCACCCTTGCCAAACTAGGTTGGAATTTCTGGGCTCGATCGTAGCGCAACCAGTGACTATTACGAGTTATGTCCCTTCTATGTCCCTCCAATTGACCAATAAGATTCCACCTCTCATAACACTTGCATTTGCTTCAAACAAAACGGCGGCGCCTAATGAAGACAATCTGATCGATAATCAAGATCTATATTGTAATAAAACGGGTTTTACTTTGCGAAGTGCATCAAAACACATGAGCACCTTAATTAAAAACATGAAAAGATTTGGAAAATATCTGTTGTGGCCAATTTGTCGGTACAGATGCTTTGCAGATCTTGCAATTGACCGAAATCTGGACGGCAGTTTGCGAACCGGATGTCGATTTCGTTACGCGATTTGTCTGTGCGATACTCGTCTGTCCAGCCAGAATACAACTCCATAATTCCAGCCTAGTTTGGCAAGGGTGAGAACTGGACTTTTATGGTCAGTTAACTCCCTTGACACGGGAAGATGATCTTTCCAACACTGCAATTGTATAGCCTATTCTAGCACGAGTATAGAATACAGAAATGATTGGATACAGGTAGTGCTTAAAGTGCTAGTGCTTGAAGTGCTGGTGCTTGGATCAATCTAAAGAATTACCTGTACAAGAAAGCAAACTTCAGGAAGGGTGATGTGTCTTACATGGAGTACATGCAAACCAGACGGCGAAACAATGAATTGACATTCACAAAAAACATTGCAATCCACTGTTGTGTATAATGAAGGTTAGTATTGTACAAAAATGTCTTCAGTGCTTCCTGTTATTCTTATGCTTCTATTTGCATATTACGTATTGTATAGCGTCAAAGTCAGTGGTTACATTCAGTCTACGAGGCACGATCCATAATTCGGCACGTGATGTCAGCACGTGCTCCTGGATGCCTGGACCCCGTGCGATAGCCATATGCTGGCCCCACTTCTTATCGCTCTCTGGCTTGGACAAAAGACCCTCCTGTAATATATCAATATGAATTCAATATACATCATAATACGATAAACAGTGAACACATCAACATACAGCATCATACGACATACATTGAGTTTAATGTCACTCACCAATGAGTCGGTAATATCATTGTTCACGGTTGTCAGAAGTTTTAGACAAACGCCTTACATATACTCTCCACGCTAATTACACTGTTGTCTTACCTGTGGTCCGAGTGCACGGCGCGGTTGTCAGAAGTTTTAGACAAAGGCCTTACATATACTCTCAAGGCTAACTACACTGTTGTCTTACCTGTGGTGCGAGTGCACGGCGACGGTTGTCAGACGTTGTAGACACACGCCTTACATATACTCCCCATACTGTCTACACTCCTGTCTTACCTGTGTTCCGACTGCACGGCGACTGTTGTCAGACGTTGTAGACGCACGCCTTACATATACTCTCCAGGCTAATTACACTGTTGTCTTACCTGTGGTGCGAGTGCACGGCGGCGGTTGTCAGACGTTGTAGATGCACGCCTTACATATACTCTCCACGCTAATAACACTGTTGTCTTACCTGTGGTGCGAGTGCATGGCGGCGGTTGTCAAAAGTTTTAGACAAAGGCCTTACATATACTCTCCACGCTAATTACACTGCCATCTTACCTGTGGTGCGACTGCACGGCGGCGGTTGTCAAAAGTTTTAGACAAAGGCCTTACATATACTCTCCACGCTAATTACACTGTTGTCTTACCTGTGGTGCGAGTGCATGGCGGCGGTTGTCAAAAGTTTTAGACAAAGGCCTTACATATACTCTCCACGCTAATTACACTGCCATCTTACCTGTGGTGCGACTGCACGGCGGCGGTTGTCGGAAGTTTTTGACAAAGGCCTTACATATACTCTCAAGGCTAACTACACTGTTGTCTTACCTGTGGTGCGAGTGCACAGCGACGGTTGTCAGACGTTGTAGACACACGCCTTACATATACTCCCCATACTGTCTACACTGTTGTCTTACCTGTGGTGCGAGTGCACGGCGACGGTTGTCAGTCGTTGTAGACACACGCCTTACATAAACTCTCCAGGCTAACTACACTGCCGTCTTACCTGTGGTGCGAGCGCACGGCGACGGTTGTCAGACGTTGTAGATGCACGCCGTTGCCGGTGCCCCAGAAGCCGAGGTAGTCGAAGTAGCTGTAGACCCTTTGGAAGGTAACGTAGACGTCCTCGATGTCGCCAATGTCTGATGACGTCACAAACACTCTCTGCACCACCTCCCCAGGGGTGAACGCACCACTACAACAGTTAAAGGTAGACCTGAACGGCAGGACCCCTTGATTAATAACGTTAATCTTAAGTGCAAGATAACATTGTATTTACCGGGTTCGATTCCCTACATGGGTACAATGTCTGAAGCCCATTTTTAGTCTGGACCAGACAATCCAGTGATTGACATCATGAGCGTCAATCCACGCAATTGGGATACGATGACATGCATCAACCCAATCAGCGAGCCTGACCACCCGATCCCGTTAGTCGCCTCTTACGACAAGCACAGTAGCCTCTGACGTCAGGCATGGGATGCTGAAGACCAATTGTTCCCGGGATTTTTCACTGGTCTGAAGTGAATTTTGAATGTAACCCCTCTCGCCCATTTCGGGTGTCCCTCGCCGTGATATGACTGGAATATTGCTATAAACGGCTTAAAATCATACTCACTCGATAAGGAGAGCAATAGCCGTGAGAGGTAAGGCATATTCCCTGCCTGTACAGGGTCGGTGGGTAGCCCAGTGGTTAAAGCGTTTGCTCGTCACGCCGAAGACCCGGGTTCGATTCCCCATATTGGTACAATGTGTCATGCCCGTTTACCGGTGCCCCCGCCATAATATTGCCGGAATATTGCTAAAAGTGGGTTAAATCATACTCGCTCGCTCACTCACTCACTCACTCACTCAGGAATACATTTCACGTTGAGGTATTGGCATACCTGTTCTCACCTGTGTAACTCTATTGGGTGTGTCTGACCCCGGGAGCCAAACAGTCGCACCTCCATGCTACCATGCATGACGGTCATGGTGTCTGCCAGCGTCATCGCCACGAAGTAGTGGTAACCTGGACAGGAATAAATGTTACGCGATGTACATTCACAGGGTTTTACCTTTACATATTAGGAAATATGAGGGTCCTGGAAAGACATGAAATGGTGTAGTGTACTGTACTGCAAGATTTGATCATTGTTTTAATTAAAAGACTTTTATATTTCTTGTTAGGAATTTGGTAAAGTGAATATTATTGTGTAAAAGACTTTCATATTTCTTGTTAAGAATTTGGTAAAGTGAATATTATTGTGTAAAAGACTTTTATATTTCTTGTTAAGAATTTGGTAAAGTGAATATTATTGTGTAAAAGACTTTTATATTTCTTGTTAAGAATTTGGTAAAGTGAATATTATTGGGTAAAAGACTTTTATATTTCTTGTTAAGAATTTGGTAAAGTGAATATTATTGTGTAAAAGACTTTTATATTTCTTGTTAAGAATTTGGTAAAGTGAATATTATTGGGTAAAAGACTTTTATATTTCTTGTTCAGAATTTGGTAAAGTGAATATTATTGTGTAAAAGACTTTTATATCTCTTGTTAAGAATTTGGTAAAGTGAATATTATTGTGTAAAAGACTTTTATATTTCTTGTTAAGAATTTGGTAAAGTGAATATTATTGTGTAAAAGACTTTTATATTTCTTGTTAAGAATTTGGTAAAGTGAATATTATTGTGTAAAAGACTTTTATATTTCTTGTTAAGAATTTGGTAAAGTGAATATTATTGTGTAAAAGACTTTTATATCTCTTGTTAAGAATTTGGTAAAGTGAATATTATTGTGTAAAAGACTTTTATATTTCTTGTTAAGAATTTGGTAAAGTGAATATTATTGTGCGTATTATTGTGTTTTTCTCTGCGTCCATTCTATACTTTTGTAAACTCCTGTATTTATAGCCTTGACCATCTTCCCGAGGCAAGCGTGTCCACTAGCCTATATCAAAGCCTAGTTTCTACCCTTGCAACAGAAAGGCCACTTTTCTTGGCTCGACCCTGGCACCACCTCGCGTAGATCACGAGTTGTGCCCCTTGTAATGAAAACATGATATCCAATCAGATCGCTGTTCTTATCTCGTATAGCTCCACAAAGATGGCGACTACCGAAAGGCGACGACCTTGTCGAGCAGATGACGAAAACATTCGCGATTTCATCCCTGACACAAGAACATAGGCAATTGTTGGAGGGTTTAAAAGATGAAAAGAAATATTCGTGTCAACAAAGACAGGCAGTGGTAAAACACTTTCATACGAAGGTGTACCAGTCGTGGATGTTGATTTTGTGAAACGTTCTCTGATTGGACTATCAATATGTGTGATAGTCCAGTCATATTTAGCACAGGAAAGTGGGCTTGATGTGGCAAGGGTGGAAACAAGACTTTGATGAAAAAGCTAGTGGACGCTCGGGAAGACGAACCTTGACACGAAATCCACACCACAGGAACCTGAGGTATTCGAGTAGTGTGTTTGATAGTGGAAATAGACATAACATTTCATCTTTTTATTGAGAAATTCTGATATATTTTAAATATACCACGGACTTGTATAACAAAAAGAAGTTAAATATAAGCCGTGTCCTTATGCCATAACGTGACAGATTAGCTATTGTAATAGTTAGAAAGTATCGGGTTTCATGACATGACGGGTTAACAATGACAATATGAAAGAATCGGGTGTCATGACATGACGAGTTAACGATAACAATATGTAAGAATCGGGTGTCATGACATGACAGATTGGGTGGGTAAGGTGAAATGGGTATTAACGTCGCGTTCCAGATTACTAGTAGTTCACTTATATAGCGACGTGCATGCACGTGTGCGTGTGCGTGTGTGTGTGTGTGCGTGTGCGCGCGCGCGTGTGTATGTGTGTGCGTGTGTGTGTGTGTGTGTGTGTGTGTGTGTGTGTGTGTGTGTGTGTCGCTGCTTATACTAGTCTTGCTAATGCCGCTTTTATAGTGATAGCCCCCTGAGATACCATGCCGCGGTTTAACATGAATACCCCACACAGTATACTGACTCCGAGCCGACCAGTCCTTGTTTAAGCCCCTCAATGCCGAGCGACAGACAGAGTAACAACAAGTACGACCTTTTAACGTCTTTTTGGTATGACGCGGCCGGGGATCGAACCCCGGACCCAGCGCTCTACCACACGATCACGGAGGTGTTCCACATAACAGATTAACTATCGTTATGTGAAAGGATTGGGTGTTCTTTTACTTTGAGAAGTATATCGAGAGTAGTATTTGACAGTAATAAACACATGAAATTTCCCCTTCGAAAACAAATAATAATTCTCATTCACTGCATACCACAATATGGCCGTGTGGGCCTGGTTACCAGATAGAATCGAAGATATTTCCCATTCAAAACAAAATATAATTCTCATTCACTGCATACCACAATATCGCCGTCTAGGCATGATGTCCTTGTAGAATTGAAGATAATTCCCATTCAAAAAAAATATACAATGTAATTCTCATTTACTGCATACCACAATATGGCCGTGTGGGCCTAGTTTCCAGATAGAATTGAAGATATTTCCCATTAAAAAAAATTAATAATTCTCATTTACTGCATACCACAATATGGCCTTGAAGGCCTAGCGTCCAAGTAGAATTGAAGATAATTCCCATTCAAAAAAAATATACAATGTAATTCTCATTTACTGCATACAGCAATATGGCCGTGTGGTCCTGGTGTCCAGGTAGAATTGAAGATATTTCCCATTCAAAAAAACATAATCATTCTCATTCACTGCATACCACAATATGGCCGTCTAGGCCTGGTGTCCAGATAGTATTGAAGATATTTCCCATTCAAAAAAAACATAATAATTCTCATTCACTGCATACCACAATATGGCCGCCTAGACCTGGTGTCCAGATAGAATTGAAGATATTTCCCATTCAAAAAAATATAATAATTCTCATTCACCGCATAACACAATATGGCCGTGAAGGCCTGGTGTCCAGGTAGAATTGAAGATATTTCCCATTCAAAAAAACATAATAATTCTCATTTACTGCATACCACAGTATGGCCGCCAAGGCCTGATGTCCTTGGAGAATTTAAGATAATTCCCATTAAAAAAAATAAAATAATTCTCATTCACCGCATACCACAATATGGCCGTGAAGGCCTGGTGTCCAGGTAGAATTGAAGATATTTCCCATTCAAAAAAACATAATAATTCTCATTTACTGCATACCACAGTATGGCCGCCTAGGCCTGATGTCCTTGGAGAATTGAAGATAATTCCCATTAAAAAAAACATAATAATTCTCATTCACTGCATACCACAATATGGCCGAGTGGGCCTGGTGTCCAGGTAGAACGACCCCCTGGCTTGGGTCTGGACGGAGGGGTAACCCATGACGGGGCAGGGGCTGTTGCCGCAGTGGAAGCAGTTGCCGCTGTTGAAGTCGGTGATGTTGGAGCAGGGGAAGGCGGTGAAGGGGCAGGGGGAGTTGACAGACTCCACAAACAGCTCGCTGGCTCTGTTGTGGTTGCAGCCAATGTTCAGCTCAGCCTCTGCATGCAGTAGCATATACAAAAGTAATAAAAACAAATAAATAAATAATAAATGAGCTTGTTCTTGTACTAAAGTACCTACTTATAAAAACGGGACTGACGAAAAAGGTGTACGAATAAGAAAAAAATCACTCATAGAATTTAAGTTCAGCAATTATCCGAACGAAGCATGTGGCAAGTGAACAGATATTTTTTTCAAATAACCTCTGAAGGCAATAATGTACCCTCTCTTCTGTAAAAAAAGCTTCCGTATACGTGTAAAACATATGCAGCTACAGTGAATAAGCATTTGAGCATAAATTCTGCCTTAATCCATTCACGCATCACAGATGAAACTGATTTTTCTATCTATATCTATAGAGCAGGCTAAAAAATCGATAATCGGAATTATCATCGATGGAAAGAAATGTTAACGATAAACGATATGAAAAAATGTGTCGTCGATAATATCTTACATGAACAATTGTGATGAAATAAAGTTCAAATTTACCAAAGAGACTTGTTATAATCAATCATGTCAATTGCCAGAAACAAAGCAACTGTTTTTGTTATAACTTAAATGTCTATAGAGTAACCCATGCATAAATCACCACTCACCAGTAGCATGACGTGTGTTGATTTCTTTCTGACTTTTTTGCATATTTGCTCAATGTTACTTCTCCAATATCTATCGATAATTGATCGATATTTAGTTAACGATTATCGATCTCTATGATCTGTATCGATAGCCAGCCCTATAATAATATCTATGATATTGCGGACGACGCCACAAAGAAGAATTGACTCACAAGTTGTTTGATCGGGGTTTCAACATTCGAGGCTTCTACAAAGATTTCAAAAAGTTTGATTGTGGAGGACATTCCAAATTGACGCTCCACTGACAAAGATTATATCCGATGCAATTCCCTATTTCCACTTGTAACATGTGCCCCCGTGTTTTGTTCACGTGAACAATTAACTAGCTTTGCATGTGTTTGTGACGAGTGCCACCGGTGAGACAGGATACGCTCACCTTTTTGCGAACACCTGGTATCATCACTATTTGATAGTGGTTCAGAAACACATACTTATGATGCAGTCGGAATCGTACCAAGGACAGAATTGAGATTTCTTATGATTATGGAAATGATTTTGTCTCTTTTATGTATTATTACGTAATGCTACTTACCGAAATATGACGGCATAACGTAGGTCTTCAGCAACCAATGCTTGTCGTAAAAAGCGATTATGCGTGTCGTAAGAGGCGACTAACGGGATCGGGTGGTCAGTCTTGCTGATTTGGTTGATGCATGTCATCGTATCCCAGTTACGTCGAACGATGCTCATGATGTCAATCACTTGATTGTCTGGTCCCGCCTCGAGTATTTACAGACCGCCGTCATGTAGCTGGAATATTGCTGAGTGCGGCGTTAAACAACAAACAAACAAACAAAATGTGGTTATACAGACAACTAATTGATATGTCCGACAATGTCCGTGTGTCCATCTGAACTTGAGCATCCTTCTCACCTTCGACGCCGGAACTGTAAGCAGACGACATGAAGCTTGACCAGCTGTCTTCTGGACATCCGGGTTGCTGGACGCCGCCATTAGGATAGAAGTCCACATGACCCACAGGCGTGATCATTCCAAACCCTGGTCACACAGGCGGGAGTGTTTCAACTGAGTTATCGATGTATCGATATTATACACCTCAATAATACAACTTATTTTTGTCATTACGAAGTGAGGCAAGACTTTTCTAGAACCATTCGTCACCACTCGTCCCTTTCCGTAACCTGCAAGAAGACTCGTCCCACTATCGATGAATGTTATGTGCGAAAATACGATAAACCAATCAGAATGCGCGTATGATTTCAAGTTCTTCGTCCAAGAATCCCTCAGAAATAAATTTTGATTTTACATGGGTCTTGCATCTAAAAATATATCAAAGACACAGTTAAATGTGTTCAATCATACTGTATAATTCCGCATGTCCCGATGTGCTTTAAATTGCATCTGAAATATATATAATATATGGGGAAATAAATGTGAACCATTACGCAACGAGTTGACAGTTGTTTTAGGTATGCCCGTTTGGTAAAGACGGAACCCGGTCGCAAAATTGGCCATGATAGGGGCACGAGTCGCTATTCGGCTTGTCCCGGAATAACACGAGTTAGACACGAATTCGGCATTCGTGACCAACTCGTGTTATTCCGGGACAAGAAGGTTACGGAAAGGGACGAGTGTTGAGGAATGACGAATTCGGCTTGTCCCGGAATAACACGAGTTGGACACGAATTCGGCATTCGTGACCAACTCGTGTTATTCCGGGACAAGAAGGCTACGAAAAGGGACGATTGTTGACGAATGACGAATTCGGCTTGACCCGGAATAACACGAGTTGGTCACGAATGTTCTAGAACTTGGATTACGAGTCCGAGGACGCCAAAACTTTGATGTGAAAAAACAATGATCAGTAAAAAGTTGGAAAAGAAGCAGTGTTTAAAATACCCGCCTGTCGACTGCCCGAGACGGTCTATTTTTACTTACAGACGGTCAGTTTGAAAAGTTGGGCTATAATTGTATTCACTAAATTACCGAAGCATTCTAGTTTAATTCAATGCAAGAGGTAAATTCACTGTAAACGTTAAACACATTATCAACGAATAAAAAATCAATGATTTAAAGTTACTAAGTTGACAATCCACCACTTATTGTTATTTTCTGAGAACTGACATTAAGTAGTACTACAGTAGACTACGTTTACAAAGAACACGCTTATGACGAACTGACTGATATAACGAACTTATTTTTAGTCCCAGACATTTGTTGAATATATGCTGTATATATGCCTTTAACGAACTACGGTTATTGCGAACTAAAATAAGTGTTCCCTTTGAGTTCGTTATAACCGTAGTCTACTGTACTCTTATGTTTACCCTTTTGTTACTTTTGGTCGTTTGTCTCGAATATTCGGGACTGGCAACATTTTATCCAGTCTGGTAACTTTGCAAAGTTGACAGGCAGATTGGAGGATTTTATACACTGCTAAAAGTACGAAACAGAAAAATCGGTAGAAGACGTTTCTCTGACCTCCCAATGTCTCGAACGGAGACCCGTCTGTATGAATGACGTCGACAAAGTCAGCGTCAGTCGGGTCGAGACGGACCATAGGCGACAGACCCTGAAAGTTGGGCTCAGCTGGATCCAAACCTGGAAAATAACAACTCATGTTATGCAGAAGAGAAGGTGAGGTGAGGTGAAATGGGGTTTAACGTCGCGTCCAAGATTATTGCACTTATATAGCGACGTGCATGCACGTGTGTGTGTTTGGCTGCTTGTACTAGTCCGGACTGATGCCGATTTATAGCGCTAGCTCACTGAGATACCATGCCGCAGTTTAACATGAATACCCCACTCAGACACAGTATACTGACTTCGAGCCGACCAGTCCTTGTTCTAGCCCCTTATTGCCGAGCGCCAGACAGGGTAACAACAAGTACCGTCTTTTGGTATGACGCGGCCAGGGATCGAACTCAGGACCTTCCGCTCTCCAGGCGGACGCCCTACCTCTAGACCACGGAGGCGGTCTGCAGAAGAGAAACTAGGTGGTGGTAGTTGCCTTGTTTTGTGGGAAGACCCGCGTTTAAAAATCTAAACATGACTATAACTATTCTAGTACTTACTTACTTACAAAAATACGAAATGTTGACTTGAACCTAATTGTCTAACTATTTAAGCTCTATGCACTTCATACAATGTAGGTTCTTGAAGCAGTGTCAAACATTACAAGTTTCTGCAGTCCACAGTCAAACACCGTTGTGTCGAGCTTTGATGTGATGAACTTACGGTAAAAGCTTGGTCCCTACGTACACTTTCTTTAGTTAACATTTTCGGTTGTGTCGAAACTCGGATAACTCGAAGTATTTACGTAGGTCCCTTCAACTTCGATACAAGGGTGTGTGACTGTATATCGTATTATTATTAGCGTAAATATATTCAGCTATTTGAAATGATGTACTCGTATACAAGCACAGGTATGGAAACAGATCCGCTTCCGTCCTCGCAATTTATCTTTCCAAGTGAGTGAGCGAGTGAGTAAGTTGGGTTTAACGCCGCCGTGACATATGAAACAGTGGGTGAGTGAGTGAAATGGGTTAAAAGCCGCTTTTAACATTATTCCAGTTATATCACGGCGTGTCAGCTTGATGTGGTAGGAAAGCCCGAAGTGATGCAGGTCTCAGACGTTTACCACTTCGGTGAAACCCAAGAGCACGGGTATGGTGCTGACAAACCTAGAAACATAATCGGGGCGAACCGGGATTCGAACCCACAATCATAGGATTCTGGCGTGCCCAAGGGACGCAACTCTGCACAGCGAATCGCGGCGCCTTTGACGACTGGGCCACCCGTGCCCCCTTATCTTTCCAAAGTTACCTACACTTGCAAAATGCCCAAGCGGCACTCTTGTTAGACATTTACGTTCGGTATCTAAGACCATTATTTTGATAATGATAAAAATCATCCCAGTTTAAGATATTTAAGATATTAGTAGGACAACAGGGCAACCGCCTTGCCACCCACATTCATTTCACGCCATTTCACCTGTAATTCTGCCGGTTCCTGGGAGTCTGTGACCAGCATAACCAGAGATGTGAGCTCCAAGACTATGGCCAATCAAATGATACTGACTACTTTGGCTTCCGGTCTCGTGATTGAGGAACAGAATCAGATTGGCTACTTCTGCCCCCACCAGCCTCGTGTTGGCTGCGGCCTGGATGTATGGGAAACCTGCGCCACGGCCCCAGTCCACGGTGATGATGTTCATTGGTTCCTGAAACCGAGGCCGGAGTTGGAGATTCGGTTTTCGCGCGTAATGCGACAAGCTCCTCACAGCGATAGCCCGTTCGCGAGGCTCTCTATACTATCGCTGCCACCAGTCAATTCTCCCCATTGAGATAGGTCACAACCATGCTTGGAGTTGAACTCGCAACCAAATGACCATTATGTTTACAAACAAGTGATGACTATCGTGACTCTTAGTCTTATCCCAGCTTAATCATTTTCTTTGTTTGTCAATTTGAATTTGTATTTCATTCTAACTTAATGTAATTGGTATTGTAAGAATGTAACGAGGAAGTGAAGTGATTTTCTGTTAGTCTGCAATCTCGAACGTATCTGATTATACAAACAAAAAAGTAAATTCATCTAGAAAACATGGTCAATCGTAAACCTTTTCAACATGAACTATGATGGCATTCCCCAAGACTTAAACAAAAATATAAACGTTACTAGGGTTTAGAGGTCAAATTTCAAGATTCTTGTAATGGCGGCGCCCACGCTGGTGGCAGCGACGTTACCGAGAGCCTGACGATGGTGTCACGCGCTGGGAAGGAGCTTGGTATTGCGATAAGAGGCTTTTGTCGACAAGAATATTGATGATTGATGTAATATTGTTGGTTTGGGGGGAATGGACGATGATGATAGTGACGTTGGCGAGTTCGTATAGACTCGATTGTCCATTGTTTTTGTGTGTTTGTTTGTTTGTTGTTTAACGCCGCACTCAACAATATTCCAGCTACATGACGGCGGTCTGTAAATAATTGAGTCTGGACCAAACAACCCAGTGATTGACATTATGAGCATCGATCAACGCAAGTCAGTGAGCCTGACCACCCGATCCCGTTAGTCACCTCTTACGACAAACATAGTCACCTTTTACGGCAAGCATGGGTTGCTGAAGACCTCTATTCTACCCTGGATCTTGTTATGAGATATGATTATATCCAAAGTCGATGATTTGATAAACAACTGCAACACACTAAGACCTATTCTACCCCGGATCACGTGTCGTTTGTCCAGTGTATCTTATCTCCATCATATTATGCTAAATACCTATAGCTTCGAATGAGCTTGAACAAAAGCGCATGACCCTGAAAATAACTGTCCAATCAATTTGCTCACATAGGGGAGAGAAATTATGTGCTCAGCTACGAAGCTGTGGTGGTGATAGAGTGTCCGGGGTGTCATTATAGAATGGATATATTATACCCTGGTTAGTCGAAGATGGGCTGCAATATTTATTTACGTTGTTATTTATTTTGTTATTTATGCCTTTGTTGTCTGAACTTAAACATAAACAAACAGGCAAAAAAAGCATTCACTTGAATACTGGATTTGACCAAATAATTACAAACGTTATCAAAACGATACTAGGCTAACAGTATCCGAAACACTACAAATGTAAACTCCAAAACACAACTATTATATATATATACATCAAATATATCACCATTTGGTAACCATTTCCTGTTGAGTTGTTTTTTGATATTGTTAGTCAACATCAAACATAGGTGAATACTTTCTTCTGCTGTTTATTTGAATTGAATCCAAATGTGCATAGCTGCGATAGAAATTGACTTCCGAAAAAAAATCATTCATATACAGAATGGGCATAAACTGCCTCGTCAACGCCAACTTCCCGCACTCGCAGGTAAGGTAACGCTTAATGGAAGTCATCGAACGTCTTTCAAAAACGGCTCGAGTGCATGATTGTGTTACGAAAACGAAGGGCACTTTACATACAAAGTTTGCTGAAATATTGCTTTTGCGAAACAGGTTTAATCAAGATGTGCTTGTGACGTGTGCAGAAAGTTACTTCTATTGTGTGGCAGTTAGACCACTTTGAGTCTTCCAGTCCTTTGATAAGACTCGATGACTATCTTTAAGATAACTACAAGGTGGTAAGGATCGGAGGTACTTGGTATGGTTAGATGTACCTTTCTAAGAAACTCCATGGTAAGATTCATCACCCAGTCGAGCGTGCTTCTTGCAAGAAAGCCATGGAGGATGATCTTGACCGGAAGTCTGTGGTCGAAGGTGGACTCTATGAGGCTCCGTCTGTTTCCCGTCTCCAGCACATCGGGAACTGTCGGGCGTTGCCGGGTGAACAGTCGGAACACCGTGCCGATGAACTGAGGGTCTTGTGGGACCTCGCCGGTGTTGTTGAAGGGGTAGCTACTGCTGAAGCACCCCACCCCCGGGTAGCAAACGCCATGTGAGTCGTGTTCCCTGTGGTGGTGATGGTGGCGGTAGTGTTCGCGGACGCCGTTGTGCCGTGTTGACACTGACGCTGAAAATAGTAACGTTGAAATCCTCAGTTCAAGGTCACAGGAACATGATTTGAGAAAAATTATCTTTGTTCGGTCAAACATGATCGACATTGCGTGAACATTAAGTGTGAGTGAGTGAGTGAGTATGGTTTTACGCCGCCCTTGGCAATATTCCAGCAATATCAACTCGGGGGACACCGGAAAATGGGCTCCACACATTGTACCCATGTAGGGAATCGAACCAGGGTCTTCAGCTGGACGAGCCAAAGCTTTAACCACTGGCTACCCCGTCGCCAAAAAACATAAAGAAGTCTAGAAAATACGTTGATTCGCTATTACATTAAGTCTCATCGTTCCTTACACGTGAATGTAGGACTTGGCCTCCGGGCACATAAACTAACAATGAGGGTACATCAACCCATGTCCCTAACGCCATGAAAATCAGTGTTGTTGGCCATTGATAGTCATGGTACTCACAAACTATCGACATCAACCGGCAGAGGTTTGAGGGGAGGTGAAATGAAATGGGGTTTATTGCACTTAAATAGCAACGTGCATGCACGTGTTGTGTGTGTGTGTGTCTGTCTGTCTCTGTCTCTGTCTCTCCTCTCTCTCCTCTCTCTCTCTCTCTCTCTCTCTCTGCGTGTGTGTGTATGTGTGTGCCATGCCGCACTTTAACATGAATACACCTCTCAGACCCGTTATACTGACCCAGAGCCTACCAGTCCTGGTTTTATCCCCTAAATGCCGAGCGTCAGGCAGGGAAACAACAAGTACCATCTTCTAACGTCTTTATCTATGACGTCGCCAGGAATCGAACCACTGCCTTCCTCTCTCCAGACAGACACTCTATCAACTACACCACGGAGGCGGTCCCGGGTTTAGATGCTAAACAGCACCACGTTATGGAACAAACCCGGATATGAACTTATGATCTCACTGTGACCTTGACATTGTGAGTGTAAGCCTAGGAGTTAGACAAGGTGAACATTTAGCCCCATTACTATTGTCATGGTATATAAAGTTTGGAACATAAATGTCATAGTGTAAATGTTGATTACAATCGTGCTGATGATACAATCTTATGATAACAATTAATAATGTTTCTGTATGATGTTGGGGTACAGCTGTATTTAGTGAATGCCCCGTCGGTTTACAGAAAGCCCTTGACTATATGGAATTTTGATGTTAACATTTCAAAAACAAAAACTGTTATATTTGTCAGTGGCCCTGCTAAACGAAGTAACTCCAGTTCATGTTTGGTGGAAAACACCTCGAGATAGTAGATAGCTGTGTTTAATTGGGCATAACATGCTATAGTATCGCCTATCTTGTTACATGTTTCAGAAATATGGGGATACGAAAATATACAAATTATTGTGCGTGTTCATTTCAAATTTCTAAAATTTCCAACTGGATTAAGAACATCAACTCCAAATGTAATGGTTTATGGGGAATCAGGCAGGGAACCTCTACACATGACTACATGTATCTCAAAACGTGTAAGGGTGCACGGGTGGCCCAGTCGTCTAAGGCGCCGCGATTCGCTGTGCAGAGTTGCGTCCCTTGGGCACGCCTGAAACCTATGATTGTGGGTTCGAATCCCGGTTCGCCCCGATTATGTTTCAAGGTTTGTCAGCACCATACCCGTTCTCTTGGGTTTCACAAAAGTGGTAAACGTCTGAGACCTGCATCACTTCGGGCTTTCCTCCCACATTAAGCTGACACGCCGCGATATAACTGGAATATTGTTAAAAGCGGCGTTAAACCCAACTCACTCACTCACTCAAAACGTGTAATTGAATTCTCGCATAACATCGCAACACCTACATGTGAGAAGAAACTTTCACAAATGATGTATCACTTTGTTAAAACGGAATCATGATGTAAGTAATCCCTGGCAAGTATGGATCAAAACTATGCCAAATAACTGTGGACTTACACACATATTGTAAAAACCTACAACCCTGTAATACCACGTGGCTGGTTGCTAAGGTTTGGTACTACAGGATCAATTCGTACAAGAATGGAGATTCAACATGGCGTTGAGCAGTAAAGGTTACACTTATCAGTATCTGACAGAAAAGCCAAAATTTGAAAGATACCTTTTTTGGACAAAAAAATATTTATAGCCCAATCTTAAATTTCATAACATGCAACATAATTTACCATTTGAAAGCGAACGTTTGAATAATGTAAAGAAATAAGATCTTGTGCCTGAACTGTGCAACTCTCCTTCAGTTGCAGACACATTTCATAATTTGATGCCAGGCTCTGTTAAACATAGACTTGTATACTTACCAACTGCTTACCAAAATAAATGGTCTAATTTGTATACATTTAACAGGTCATTGTCCAGTCAAAACGCGAGAGATCTAAAGAACCTATCGAGATCTATCGATGAAATATTTACAGCAGTATAAAAACACAAGGCCGAAAAGATATAATATATAAATGCATGACATACTGTCATTTTGTCACATATTAACACTTTATGTGTCATGCTTATTCTTTTGTACCATCGTCGCCCGTTTAGGAAGAAACTATTGTTTCTGTTTCTGTTTCCCAGGTGCACATTAAACATGTTTGTGTTTTGTTGTGTTGTGTTGTGTTGTGTTGTGCTGTGTTCGGTGGGTGCCCACGCTGCCAATCCCTGTTAAGGTATGGGGGTCAGTGAGCCGCGATAATCCCTTAAACAATGGGGATTAAGGTATAAACTATGTCATACTTTATCACAGGTATATATACCACTGTTTAAAACATGGTTTAAACACATTTTTCTGGAACCTTGTCAAATTATTACTAACATTTAGGGCTCATTTATATTTAAATAATAACAATTTCATACATTCTAAATAAATATGCAATTTATTTAATAGATTTAGCAAATATGAAAATAGGTATGATGAATTTACCAGTTAGTGGTTCAATATTCTTTAAATACTAAGTATACGTCATAGTGCCAGGAATATGTTTTCAAGGGAAATACAAGTTTCCAACAAGACATTCCAAGGTGTTTAGACGCAGAATCAGTGTTAACAGTATAACGCCGTCATCCAGCACGAACTAGTGGTGGTGGAATGCAGGCTGTTTAACAGATCAACCTTGTATTCGTCCTAGCTCTACATATAAAAACACGTATCACATAATCACAATTTAAAAACCACCTACCGACTTCCGCTAAGAGTAGCAATATTCCAGCCAGGGCGGGTGCTAATGTCTGCGCCATGACCGATCCGAATGTTTGGTCCGGAATAAATGCTTTACCACACACAACCTTAGCTTTAACTGCCCCTGGGTCAGTCGAGGTTAACCCCTTCACGGCTGGGCATGTTTATCACACGGAAACGATCTTCTTTATAGTTTAAAATACAATAAAAAAATAAGGTATTTGGTCTGACGTTGGTTCTTTGGTCTTCTCAACGAATGGTCTACAGAGGTTTTCTGTTTTGTTTAATCTTCAAATATTCTGCATGGAAGACTCTTAAGCCGCAAGGTGGTTAATTGTAACGGAAGAAGTAACTTGGGGTTTATGCTTCAATTCTTGACCCGTCTTAATTAGCTCACGATGGAGAATAATGGCCTCTACCGTCTTGAAGACAAAGGAAGAGTGGTTCTAGATAAGATTGGTTTTATTTATATAAGATGGATGCAGTCTTTAATTGGATCATATCAGTCGTATGGATTGACATACTCTATAATGGTGATAGCGCAGTCGCCTTACAACCCGAGACGGATACAAGCCGCTTGCTTTATCTACCCAAGATCCGGTTAGAACAGGTCTTCAGCAACCCATGCTTGCTGTAAAAGTATTATGCTTGTTGTCACAGGCGACTAATGGGATCGGGTGGTCAGGCTCGCTGACTTGGTTGATGCATGTCATCGTATCCCAATTGCGTGGGTCGATGCTCATGATGTCAATCACTGGATTGTCTGGTCCCGACTCGGTTATTTACGACTCGTCATATAGCTGGAGTGAGAGAGTGAGTGAGTTTGGTTTTACGCCGCTTTTAGCAATATTCCAGCAATATCACGGCGGGGGACACCAGAAATGGGCTTCACACATTGTACCCATGTCGGGAATCGAACCCGGGTCTTCGGCGTGACGAACGAACGCTTTAACCACTAGGCCACCCGACCGCCCCATATAGCTGGAATATTGCTGAGTACGGCGATAAACAACAAACAAACAAAACATGATGAGGTGGTGGATTGACCACAGATGTCTGATTTGAAGTTTGAAATTGGGAAAACTAATGTTGTTATTATTTCTCAATAACTCGCATCTACGCGGTTTAAGCATGCTATTAATAAGTGTAATGTGTATCTCACTGAGCAGAAAGGGTTAAATGCGTGCACCTGCTCACGCGTGGACTGATCTAGGTCAGAGATGTTAATGTGAAAACCTTTCAGCACGACATGTTTAAACTCTGGAGCAATATACCAGGTACCATGTTCCCGAGTCTAGGGAGTTAACTGACTATTAAAGTCCAGTGCCGAACTAGGCTGGTATAATGGAGTTAGATTTTTGCTGGACTAACGAGTCTATGCATAGTCCAATCAAAATCGTGCACCGAAATCGAAATCCGGTTAGTAAACTGTCGTGCAGATTTCGGTCAACTGCAGGATTTGGAAAGTATGTGCTACGCCAACTCGTTGTCAACAGATATTTTCCAAGTCTTTTCATGTTTTGAATCAAGATGCTCATGTGATTTGATGCACTTCGCGATGTTAGACTCGTTTTATCACAATATAGATCTTGTTTATCGATCAGATCGTCTTGACAGGGCGCCGCCATTTTGTTTGAAACAAATGCAGGTGTACGAGAGGTGGAATCTGATTGATCCATAGGAGAGGCTTAGAAGGGACATGACTCGCAATAACCATTGGTGGCGCTACGATCGAGCCCAGGAATTCCAGCCTAGTTCGGCAAGGGTGGAAACTGGACTTTTGAAGTCAGTTAACTCTCTTGCCTCGGGAAGATGGTCGACAGTAACTCCGATGATCACATTTCACCTGATGAAGGAGTAAGCATATACTCCGAAACGGTGTGTTCCTCATTTTATAGAAGTTGACATCAATTTATAAACCGTCAAATTAATTTAGAGCCGAAATAATGAATATCAATGATTCTCTTTTGACTGGTGTGTCTCGCTTTCATGAACGCTGTTTACGCGGCGGTAAATAATCGCACAAACGCAACGCACGTGCATTTGCTGCACGAGCAGGATATATCTCGGTCAAGTACACGTGGTTTCATTCACTTGTGTTGGAAAAATGGCCGAGGAAGGGGAAGACTTTTTTATTACACAGTCCACATTTATCAATGAAATTTCCGAAAGTAATGCTCCTGATGCTGATAAAGATGATGTAGGCGATTTTGCGTTTCGCTTTGGAGAGCCATTGTGTGAGCGGGAGAAAAAAATGTGCCATACAACAAGATTATACCGTGGTGAAGTTGATGAGCAAATGATCTGCGAAGTAACTGGTAGGTATAAAAACCAATATATATTAAGTAGAAAACACATTTTTCGGAGAAATCAGTCTACATTGTAATTTATTATTTGGGAAATTTGAGATTGCACGAAATGATCATTGGAACAATGCAGAAAGCCGTAAAAATCTGCTATAAATCGGGTGACCCTGATGACTGAAGATTTGCTGAAAACCGTTTAAATAAATCTGATAACCGCGATATGACAACAAAATGTTGTATGTTTTGAAATGTTCATAGTATTTTCGAAAAGCCTCTTATCTATATACTCTAGCAAGCGGGTCAGATGAATGTTATATCACTGTTTGAACATATGTTTCAGGGCATAGAAGTGATGCCGTACGTACGTATAAACGTACTTCAGACGAGCAAAGGGGGACCCTGTCAGACATCATTGCCAAAAAGAGGAAGCAGGATGTTAGCTCTGAGCCGACGCCGATTGTAACTGAAAAGCCAAACCCCAGGCCTTCCCCGAAAAAGATGAAATGGACATCGGTCGTCGTTTTGTACTCAATTTCACTTTTCATTTAACCTACTTCATAAGTGTTGCTTTCATTAATTTGCACTTTGAGGCATTTGGGAAATGAGGTTTGTCCCTAGGCCCATCTGCACAACGCGATTTTAGTGCTAAAACAATTTTAAACTATTTAACTTGGAAACTCAAACATTAGCACTTAAATCGCTTTGCACATCTAAAGCCAGATCTTGCCAGCAGAATGCCCGGGTCTTACCAGCAGAATGCCCAGGACCCGACCTAATTTCCTTTCTTCCAGGGCTTACATTTCCCGTCAAGACACATATTCGCTTCCTTGTGTGTATCACTTCTAAATGCCTTTCAAAGACCTGATCAAAAGTTATGATAAAAAATTGCAATTTCGAATCTTGTACGAGTGGTCTGCGGTCTGTAAATAATTGAGCCAGGATCAGACAAACCTGTGATTCATATGAAGAGCATCTATCTACGCCGTAGGGTAAGATACGCACAGGGCTATTCGCGCGTAAAAGCAGGAAGCCTCAATAGACTTAAGGAGAGTTGTGCTGGCCTTGTTTCAGTGTTTTCAGAATGGTGTTCGACTCAATGGTTGTCATATTGCAAACCTTTAAAAAAAAACACCACAGTTACCTACCTAAATGTAAACTAACATCGTCATCACGATACAGCCACAGCCTGCCCAGCATTCGTCGCCACTCGCTCTTTTTCGTAACCTACGTGAGTGAGTTGGGTTTAACGCCGCTTTTAACAGTATTAGTTATATCACGGCGCGGCAGCTTAATGTGGGAGGAAAGCCCGAAGTGATGCAGGTCTCAGACGTTTACCACTTCGGTGAAACCCAAGAGCACGGGTATGGTGCTGACAAACCTAGAAACATAATCGGGGCGAACCGGGATTCGAACCCACAATCATAGGTTTCTGGCGTACCTAAGGGACGCAACTCTGCACAGCGAATCGCGGCGCCTTAGACGACTGCGCCACCCGTGCCCCCGTAACCCACAAGAAGGCTTGGCTGGGAATAACACAAGTTGGTCACGAATGTCTGCCAAGAGGTAGTGTTAGGTGATTGTACGACGCTTCACTAGCTAATGTACGCGTTACGCCACGTTTTCAAACGGAATGTGTCCCCTGGCGAGATTTCAGAGGTGAAATGCGATTTAACGTCTCGTCCAAGATTATTGCACTAATATAGCGACGTGCCAGAGCGTCTGGCCGAGCCCCAGACAGGGTAACAACAAGTACCATCTTTTAACGTCTTTTGGTATGATGCGGCCGAGGATCGAACCCCGGACCTTCCGCTCTCCGGGCGGACGCTCTACCACTAGACCACGGAGGCGGTCTCGAGATTTCAGAGGTGAAATGGGGTTAAACGTCGCGTCAAAGATTATTGCACTTATATAGCGACGTGCATGCACGTGAGTGTATGTCCATGTGTCTGGCTGCTTCTACTAGTCCGGACTGATGCCGATGTCAGAGAGTGGAATTTCCCCCCTAGCCTATTTTCCCCCCGGAAAACTGGCTATATAGCCATACCTCCCACGGAAAGCATACTATACTACTCAACAGAAGTTAAGGATCACCTGATTCTCACATATTACAATAGTTAATCTCTCATGCCATGACAGATTAACATTACCAATATGAAAGAATCGGGTGATCCTTAACTTCTTTTGAGTAGTATATAGAGCCATATTTCCCACCCGGAAAATACACTATATAGCCAATTTTCCGCTTTGGAGTCAGATTTCCCCCATAATTAAATATGTCTATTATCAAAAGTACCTAGATGTACAGTTGGCTGATGGAGTAATTTACAAGAGAAACCATGATTAAAATCTTGTGTTTTTTTGCGCCATACATTCTTAATTTTAATAAATAGAGGATAGTTCATTTCGACAGTGAGATATGGGTTATATATTATTATATATTTATATAGTTGGGTATGTGTTGTTTTTGTTTTTTTATTTTGTTGTGTATTTGAGGTAAATCAGCGAATCTAAAATCTTCCAACTGTCTTCAGTAACAATACGTCACATTGCTAGTTGAAACACACTTTGCTAGTTGATTTCTATCAGGTCTGCACTGTAAACTTGAACGGCAGTCGTTCTCCTTATCATGGTTGCAGTGACATATCACTTTTCTGTCATCGAGAATCCTCAGTCGCTCACTGCCAAGTATATTATAAAGTATATTTACAACGTATATAGCGCAAATATCTGTGCGTGCTCATGGCGTTTCTTACCCCGATCAGAGGTCCGTATATTTTGCATTCCAGAACTTCCCAGCTACATGTGAAATATGCAACCAAAGCTGCCT